CCCCCCAAGACCCCAATCCGACTCAATCCAGCTAAGCAGCAGCATGAAGTAGCGCGGCTCACAGGAGCGCGTCCAGCGCAGGCACCACGAGGACAAGCGTGCGCTGCAGAAGGACGCAGCGACACAATGATTGTGGAAGTGCCGCCCAGGGGTTGAAGGGGTGATGCGCCCCGCTCGGCGGGCAGTTAGGGTTCTTGACTTCCTCTGACTCTGGACCTGTCTGCATTCCAATGCTAGGAAGGAAGACGCATGCAGCAAGATCATCCCGGCCCTAAACCCTAAATGCTAAACCCTAAACCCTAAAGCCTAAACGCATGGGTATACAAGGAACGGCGGCAGAACCGTGAGAGGAAGTTTTCGGAGTGACGCGCATCGGCAACAAGGCCGTCAGAATCAGCTGTACCACGGTAATAGTGATAGTAATAGGAACAGTAATAGTAATAATGCTAATTAGTTAGAAAAGCAGTATTAAGAATCATAATGGGAATATTACTTGTAAATAAGAATCTCAGTAATAGCAATACAAATCAAAACAATCATATAACAATCATCATCGTCATTAGACATAATAGGTTTATTGCGCTGCCTTATCTTGTCGACCCAGCAGGCACGAAGCAGCCCCGTAGGATCAGGAACGGTCATGCAGCGCCCACACAGCTCCGAGACCTCCTTATACCCCAATCCCTGAAGGCCTTGACACAAGTGGGCGCAACCACGTCTGAATCTGGGCTCTGGAGATCTCGAAGAACCTTAGGGTTTAGGGTTTAGGGTTGAAGTTGTGCGTCTGTCATCTACTCTCATTCATTTGCCATCTGTTTCTCAGAAGAGCACATCTGCTTGAGGGCGGACTGAGGGGCAACACTCATCATTACTCGTCATGTGTGCTGCATGGCCTGCCTCACAATAGTTCTGTTGGGGCCGCCTTGTTGAACCTTGCTGGGTCCTTCCCTAAACCCTAAGCCCTAAACCCTAAACCCTAAACCCTAAACCCTAAACCCCTTGAATTAGTTTTCGGAGGGTTGCCCGTCAATGCTTCTTGGGACGCAGTGGTCTGAGGTGAGCCCTGATAAGTTGCTGTACCCTAAACCCGAAACCCTAAACCCTAAGACCCTAAACCCTAAACCCTAAACCCTAAACCCTAAACCCTAAAACCCTAAACCCTAAAGCCCTAAACCCAAAAAGCCGCACACTGACCTCCACTTTCCCCCACGAATCTGCTTGCAGGCCCTTGCGCGCTGGTGAGCCGATCAGAGAGTGCAAGCTGAGTGCAAGTATTCACCCAGAGAGCCCAATACCCCTTAAATAAGGAAGATACCTTAAATCATATTCAGGATCTCTATATGATTTAAGGTATATTCCTTATTTAAGAGGTATTGGGCTCTTTGGGCAAGTTCTGTCGCCTCAGGGCGGACGAAATCCGCATTTGCACCGAGGCTTCGTGGCGCCGCGGTTGCCGACAACAACAATCAGTTAAGTTGGGTAGGGAACCCTAAACCCTAAAACCCGAAACCCGAGACCTTAACCATTCAGGCTGCCATTGGGTATGGGGACCACGAGATGCCACTAAGCCATTGCTAATTGCCCTCAGCCCACGCCTTGAGACGCAGAGGGGTGGATCCGGCTGAGTCTTGCAGAGCCACAGAGGAGTCGCTGCTGGCAGTGGTGCAAATAATTACGCCACAGTACTGGGTGATAGTCAAGCTCTTGACAAGGGTCGTTATCAATTACCCAGTTGCTTGACGCCAAGTATGATATGTTGGGCCACCCTAGCAATCCAAGGCTAAGTCGGATAAGATGCAAACTCGAGCGGCGAGAAGCAGCACCATCTGGGCCAAACACAGCAGACTTAATTCACACTTTGCGACAGCATCTGCAAGCAGCTTAACCTTAAGGCTGGGCCCAATGTTGGAGTGTCTTGGGCAGTACTGCCTGCCTTGAGCAGTGACAGCTCAAGTTGCCCTGAGCTAAGCTGCTTGCCCCTTTACATAGAGAGATTTTGTGTGGTGCATAGAATTTGGTGCATGCGTCGTACAGCCTGCTTGATGCGCCTGCTGTCTGATTAGCTGAGGCCTTGGGAAAGGGCAGGTTTGAGAGTACTAACCCTAAACCCTAAACCCCAAACCCGAATTACCACAGGGTGGTCCATGTATAGGTCCCTATAGGCTTGTCCATGTGTGCATGGAGTTGTGAACGCCCGGTCCACGTTTCCTCCCTAATCAGACTCCAGGCTGGCTTCCCAAACCAAGCAGGATCTCTGCACAGGCCCTCCGAATGGAACTCAGTCCCTTCATGGCCCTTGCAGCATCCCTTGACCTCCGGAGGCTTTTGGGGGGCTCAGTGGTGGCAAGTCGAGGGTTTAGGGTTTAGGGTTTAGGGTTTAGGGTTTAGGGTTTAGGGTTTGGGGTTTAGGGCAAAGATACCCCCCCTGAGAAGACGGCCGTTCTGCAAGGGGTCTTTGTGCTGCAGGGCCAGTATGCCGGTTGGCGCGCTCCAAGGCGCTGAATGCATGCGTGGCTTGTGCCAGGGACATTTGTGCTCCCTTCTCTTTAGATAAAGATCGCGGCCAGCAAGATCAGTCTGCCAGCTTGTGAAAGAACTTCGACATGATCCGGCTGGCCTGCGAGCTACAAACAAGCAAAGACCCTGCTCTTGCTTTTCAATGGTTTAAAGCCTTGTAGAAGATCTTCTTTGAAAAAGAGCCAGGCACGTTGCAGAATGATGCCGCACATCACTCCTACCAGGGACTTGTTGCGAGCGAAGTACCAGCATGGTAAGTTAGTAGATGGCAGACTAGTGACGACCCTAAACCCTAAACCCTAAACCCTAAACCCTTTGTACATGGTTCGAGCCGAGAGTCGGCACAGCATGCTGACGTGAAAGAACCACATCACCACCGGTACCACCTTGGCAGAAGCAGCCCCTCATAGCTAGCCAGCAGGCCAAGTCAGCTAGTACAGGATACTCCCTTATGGGCCCTTTATAATTATACGCAAATAATCCCCCCAAAACCCCATTCTAATTATGAAGGCCCCTATAGTACGCTCGAGCTGCCCACTGTAGAGGCACTCAGTATAGTCCATCATGGCCATGCTTTTGAAATCAGTTCCCTAAACCCTAAACCCTACACTCTAAACCCTAAACCCTAAACCCGAAACCCGAAACCCTAAACCCTAAACCCTAAACCCTAAACCCTAAACCCTAAACCCTAAACCCTAAACCCTAAACCCTAAAACCCTAAACCCTAAACCCTAAACCCTAAACCCTAAACCCTAAACCCTAAACCCTACCAAGAGCCCATCCTGGATCCCGGTCCGCCATGGCAAAGTCCCTTCCATGGCGGTTCGGACGCGCGGGCCTGCCTCCAAGTTGATTCGACGGAGTTTGTCGGGCTTTGAGGGGCACATGAGTGTCAGTGTAAGTGCCCTGCGCGTTTCGGCAGAAGAGAGGTGAATGCGAGCCATAGCAGCCCTCAACTCTTGTCCCGTAATTACAGGGGTTTGACAGACCCAGCTTGGCTGTTTTCGAGGTCGTCGCACAGACAGCCGTCAGCACGTCATTCAGTGATATTCAGTGGGAAGTCGGTGCCAGGAGTGACAGCAAGCGATCTCTGCAGTGGGCTGTGGTACTTCTCTAGATTAAGGTTTGGGTCCCCTAGATAATGCGGCACCCTTATGGGACCCCCAAAAAGGGACCCTACTTTGGAGAACTACCCATATATCGGGGGCTCATTGTTTTTAAGTATTGGCGAGTGTATGTGTGGGTTCTGTTGGGGATACAAGAAAAGCCCTACCTTACTCATCCTACACCCTAAACCCTAAACCCTAAACCCTAAACCGTAAACCCTAACCCTAAACCCTAAACCCTAAACCCTAACCCTAAACCCTAAACCCTTAACCCCTAACCCCTAACCCCTACAGTAACCCCTGACCCCTAAGCCCCGAGCCGACACCCACAGGTCATTTGCTATTGCTCCCCGCCTCGCGTACAGACGGAGACAGAGCTTCTTTGGCCTCGTGGGCCTCCACCCCAGGCAGTGGGTTTAGGGTTTAGGGTTTAGGGTTTAGGGTTTAGGGTTTAGGGTTTAGGGTTTAGGTCTTGGGCTTCATGGGTTAGGGTAGCTTAGGATATTTGGGGCTTTACGATCTAGGGGTACCTTACTGGGGTGCTGATTAATAAGGGGATCCTACTATCTAGGGGTCTATGTTAGGGGTCCCTTATGATCGCAAACCCCCCATATTTCGGAAGTAGAGAGTCAAAGACCGGCTGAGGGATGTTTTGGTGTTGAGATTTGGGGTTCCTGCGAGTTGTTCTAGCGCGCACGTGCGCCGTGTTGCTGAGGCCAGGCAGAGACGCAGGTGAAGGCCCATGTCCGCACCTCTTCGCTGAAACGATGTGGGGGTTTCCGACAATAGGGGTACCCTTTTTGGGGGTTCCTATAATCAGGATAATAAGTAACTTGGGGCATATAAGGGTACCCCTATTTTCGGAATTACCAATGTGTCACTCTGTCAGGTCAGCAGCCTTCTCGCCATACTGTGTTTGGGTAGTGATTCAGTTGCTTGCGCGTTCATCGCGGGAAGCCTTCTTGCATCTTCTTTGCGGTTGCGGCCCAAGCATGGTGTCTGCCCGGCCGACGACAAAGACGATCATGAAGCAAAAGCCGGAAACGACTGAAGACCATGCTCTCTTTTCTTTCTACGTGAGTTAGCAGCAGACACAGCCGCCGCGGTGGGTTGCAGCATCACTCCCAAAGAGCCACATTAAGGATCCCTTGATGATTCAAGGTACATTCCTTTGTTGACGGGTATTGGGCTCTCTCATTCCCAGGGCCACTTGCACCTGCATCGTTTCCGATATTAGGGGGTATCTTATTGGGGTCCTTGTTACACGGGAATCCTACAATTTTCGGGGGTCTGTGTTAAATTAGGGGTCCGTCATATTCGTAAATCCCCAAATCCGCCAAGCGACTTAGACCCCGAATTGGGAAGCCATCGGGAGCCATGGTCGATGGATGCTTTGCGGGATGCCTTGTGGGCACCAGCTTTGGTGCCCTTGGAGCTTTGTACTGGAAGTCAGAGAAGGGCTTCTACAGAGGCACGGAGTTCAGTTGCCCCTCAACCCTGATTCCTAGACCCTCTATAAACCCTAAACCCTATAGACCCCTAAACCCTGTAAACCCTAAACCCTAGACTTTTGTGCTCCGGATCCCTTCCGACGTTTTGAGAGCGGTTCCTCTCTCCATCTTTGGCTTTGAGACCCTCAGGCTCCAGCATCTCACAAAAGGGTTCAGGGTTTAGGGTTTAGGGTCTAGGGTCTAGGGTTTAGGGTTTAGGGTTTAGGGTTTAGGGAACAGAGGTAAGAATCATGACAGGCCGCGCTCTCACAAGACAGCTCACGGACGCACCGGAGCATTTGCGCCCCGGTCCCCTGCTTCATCCCTTCAAGGCTCGCGAGGGTACTTGGAGGTTCATGGGTAGTTTTAAGTGGGGTTATAGGTTTAGGGTTTAGGGTTTAGGGTTTAGGGTTTAGGGTTTAGGGTTTAGGGTTTAGGGTTTAGGGTTTAGGGTTTAGGGTTTAGGGTTTAGGGTAGCTTACGGTACGTATAACCCTACTTATAGGGTGTACGTCTCCGCTGCGTGCTATAAGATATGGCAAATCAAGGGCGCGCGGGGCAGTGTATAGGTAACTCGACTCTGAAATGCATGAGGCCAGAGCAAACCCAAAGAACCCAATACCCCTTAATTAAGCCATACTCCTTAAATCATAATAAGGGTCCCTTTAGAATCTTTAGAATTTAAGGTACATTCCTTAGTTAAGGGGTATTGGGCTCTCTGGGAAAGCCAAGCCGGAGTTTGTTTCAGACTGCAGGCCCAGCACCTGGACGTCGTCCAGGAGCCCATGTCGCCGAGTCAGCCTGACTCCCCTCGACATCCTCGCGAGCCACGCGGGTTGCATGGAGGGTCAGACGCAGATTTTTCTTTACTTGGAGGTTCATGGATAGTTATAAATAGGGTTAGAAGTCTAAATAAGGTTATAAGCGTAGTTGCCCTACTCATAACCCCACTTGCCCATGAACTTCCAAGTAGGCGAGGGTGGAGTCTTGTCATTCAGCCCAGGTTTAAACGCCGAGTATCTGGCAAGTTTTCCATGAATGAGAACAAGGCCCCGTGTCAGCATGCTGTCCTGAGCCGGACTTTCCGAAATTAGGGGGTACCCTTTTTGGCGGTTCCCCTACTTGTAGTAAGGATTGCAGAATTTTGGGGGTATATTAGGGGACGCTATCATTGGGAAATACCGAGGTAGGACTGAGCTCAGTTGCCCCTTTTTGTTGATGCTCCGACTCGAGGTGGTCGAACAGAAGGTCGTTCTGGCGATGGTCGGCCTGCCCGCGAGAGGGAAGTCGTACATCTCAAAGGCCATCGTCCGATACCTGAACTTTGTTGGGTGCCCCACCAAGCTCTTCAACGCAGGGAATCTGAGGCGCTCTTCGGGCAGGAGCGGGGTGGATGCCAACTTCTTCGACAGCTCCAATGAGAGCGCAAAGCAACTCCGCGATGCCATGGCCATGGAGTGCGTAGATCAGCTGCTGGCATTCCTGGACAAGGAGGGCCGGGCCACGGCTGTCGGCATCTTAGATGCCACAAACACCACGCTGGAGAGGCGGCGGAAGGTGAAGGAGCGTGTTCTTGCCCATGCGGGCATCCGGCTCATCTTTCTTGAGTCCCTCTGCGACGACGACGCCATTCTGAGGAACAACTACGATCTCAAGCTTGGCAACGAGGACGGCAGACTACAGAGCTCGGAGAGTGCGACTACTTCGTAACCGGGTTTAGGGTTTAGGGTTTAGGGTTTAGGGTTTAGGGTGTCCCTAAGAGAGCTAAGTAGGTGGGAGCCTTTGGATTGAGTCGCTGCCATGCGAGGACTACGTTGGCATGAATGCCGAGAATGCTCTCCACGACTTTTTGGAGCGCGTCGACCAGTATGCCCTGGTCTACGAACCGGTCGAAGACAAAGAGTGCTCCGAGCCCCGACATCCTAAACCCGAAACCCTAAACCCTAAACCCTAAACCCCAAACCCTAAACCCTAAACCCTAAACCATCAGCCATGTCCTTTAGGGCATGCGGCACACTCAGCGGGGCCCGGTTGCCCAGGACAGGTGTGGCTACATCAAGCTCATAAATGCTGGAGCCGCTTGCTTAACTTTATCTGCCGGCATGCCCAAAGAGCCCAAGACCTCTTAAACAAGGAATATGCCTTAAATCATATAGGGATCCTTAATATGATTTAAGGTAATATTCATTAGGTATTGGGCTCTCTGGGTGTGGGTATGATCCAGGCGCCAGCAGCTGTGACTTAACTCAGGAGAAGCTGATTTGCTGCCGCTGCCGCTCCAAAGATGATGAGTATGGCGTGGTGAGGCGGCTGTTGTCAACCGGTGAAGGGGTTGTGCCACTTACACAGAAGCGGCAACTGAGACAGGTACATTGTGGGGCTCATGTCCAGCATTAACCTTGGAAAGCGTTGCATCATGCTGGCTATGGTCGGCGAGACGGAGCACGACAGGACGGTCTCCTTGTTTTGTGATGTCTCATTGTGTCGTGACATGGTGGTTCTTCATGCTGAAAGGGTGAGAATTCTCTGGTAAATTACAGCATTCTGAGCTGTGAGGCTTGCGGCGTGGTATTCGTTCTGGCTTTTTGCTGACTTCTTGGCAGTGTTCAATCAGCTTCTGCTAGCGTACTATTTGCTTAAGGACCCTAACTAAAATACAAATGAATAATCCTTATATTGCCCCTCTGAGGAAGCTGATTATCTATTCTTTTAGGGGGGGGGGGGGGGTTCGTAAGCAAATGGGTATTTCCCAACATAGGGGTGCCCCAACAGAATCCTATTAAAGGGACCCCCCAAATAGGATGGCCCCTATTTTCGGAAACCCGCAAATAGCAAATAAGCCTAAACCCTAAACCCTCAACCCTCAACCCTAAACCCTAAATCCTAAATCCTAAACTCCCCAAACCCTAAACCCTAGACCCTAAACCCTAAACTACCCTAAACCCTAAGCAGTGAGAGGATGGGCATCCTTGGTGGTGACTCAGCGCTGACAGCAGCAGGCCGGAGAGTCCGCCTTGATAGAGAGACATTGGGGTTTAGGGTTTAGGGTTTAGGGTTTAGGGTTTAGGGTTTAGGGTTTAGGGTTTAGGGTTTAGGGTTTAGGGTTACACCCTTGCAAGCTAAGCCGCAGCGTCGATGACAGGGAAGCAGCATGCTGCGGCATTGGCCAGACTCTTGACTTCACAGCTTAGGCTGGCAGTTCACCTCTGGTAGCGCTCGTGCTCGGAAGCCGATTTCCTTTTTAGGGCTTAGGGTCTTAAGGGTTTTTAAGGGTTTTAAGGGTTTTAAGGGTCTCAAGGGTTTTCAGGGATTTAAGGGTTTTAAGGGTTTTAAGGGTTTTAAGGGTTTTAAGGGTTTCAAGGGTTTTAAGGGTTTTAAGGGTCTTAAGGGTTTTAAGGGTCTTAAGGGTTTTAAGGGTTTTAAGGGTTTTAAGGGTTTTAGGGTACATGCCTCTGTGGCATTCTGTATTTGTGAGCCAAGGATTCGTTGCCGAGCGAGAGGAAGCCGCCGGCAAGCCGATGCTGGCTGCTTGGCTGAATGTGGAGAGATCATTCCAGGAATGGGTATCTCCCTAAGTAGGGGGTACCTCGTTTATACCCCCACATAGAATAGAAAGTCCCCCTGAAAGAGGGAGCCCCCAAACAAGGGTACCCCTATGTTCGGAACCCCCCCCCCCCTCCCCGATTCGGTGTCTTCTCCGAGCCTTGCCCTTTTTGCCTCCCGGGGACTGCGAGGTGATGTGTGGCACGCTGACCAGACACTTGCAAACGGTCGAAGCTCTGAAGGTTGGCGGTGGCCGCAGTCACTATTTTTTTGTATGTCATTTTTCAGGTATTATACTATATACTGTATATTATATATTATACATCACATATTTGTATGTTAGATATTATATATGATAGTATATCTATCATATATTATATATTATAGATTAGATATTCGATCTCAGATTTTAGATAGTATATTTCATATATTATATATTTTTAGATGTAAAAAGTCATATATTATGTACTATGTACTATGTATTATATATTATATATTATATATTATATATTATATATTATATATTATATATTATACATTATATATTATATCTTGTATATTATGTTTTACATATTATGTTTTATAATATATATATATATATATATTACATATTATATACATATATATTATATTATATACATATACATATATATATATATATATATACATATATATATGTCTGTATATATATATATATATGAGAGGGGCCTTTATGTACTATGTTGCTACCTGCTTTTCTTTCTATACGGAGAACCTATGGAAACGTTAAATTATTCAAATTATTTAAATTCTTGGGCTCCGAAAATAACTTAGATAATTTAGATAATTTAAATCACGGAATTTAAATTATTCAACTCATTCAAATTCTCGGGTCCCTAAAATAATTTCAAGAATTTCAATACCAGAATTAATACCAGAATTAAATTATTTAAATTCGCCTCGGCTTCCTGCCGAGAAGCGTCTGGAACAAGCAGACCCGGATCGGGCCTCCTTCCCCCTAACCCAACCCTTTCCCCGCCAAATTTTTTGACGCAACCCCCCCCCCCCCCCCGCCCTGTGGGACCCCCCCCAATCCCTTGGAGGAGCTGCAAACCGATGCCGTGGAGGGTCCCGCTTGTCGGTGGCTCCTACAGGGGAAGTCCCTCAAAAACCCCCCCACCCCCCAAACCCCCCCCCCCCCACCCCCCCCCACCCCCCCCACCCCCACCCCCCCCCCCCCCCCCACCCCCCCCCCACCCACCCCCCCCACCCCCCCCCCCCCGACCCCCCCCCCCCCCACCCGCTCTGCCCTTCCTCCCTTTTTTTGCGAGACCCTCTTTCCTCCTTTCCTGTCCTGGGGCCGGCCCGGCTGCCGAGGCGGCGCGCGCAAGCGTTTACAATTATGTAACGTATTTTCGAGGCCCGAGAATTTAAATAATTCAAATAGAGTCCAGATTTCTCCGAGCCCAGACCCCGGCCTCGAAAATGATTTAAATAATTTCAATACCGGAATTAAATTATTTAAATTATTTAGATTATTTAAATTATTTAAATTATTCAAATTATTTCCATTATTTCAGTTATTTCAATTATTTCAATTATTTAAATTGTTTACATTATTTAAATTATGCAAGTTATTTAAATTGTTTAAATTATTCAAATGATTTAAATTATGTAAATTATTTAAATTATTAAAATTTTTAAAATTATTTAAATTATTTAAACGGTCTGGGCTCGGAGAAATCTGGAATCTATTTACATTATTTAATTTCTCGGGCCTCTTAAATAATTTAAACAATTTAAATAATTTAAATACTTTAAACAATATTTAAATCGGTGATTTAAATTAGTTAAATTATTTTCGAGGCGCGAGAATTTGAATAATTTAAATAATTTAACTCCGGTATTTAAATTATTTAAATTGTTTTCGAGGCCGGAGAGTTCAAATAAGTTAAACCACTGATTTATATTATTTAAATGGTCTGGGCTCGGATAAATCTCTGATGAAGTATGTCCCCTGTGAGGGCTTGGACACCCTCCCGCTTCCAAATTTCAATAATTCGAATAATTGAATTACGGTATTTAAATTATTGACATTATTTTCGAGGCCGGAAGAAAATTTTTAGGATCCTGCAATCCAGGGCAGAAGAGAATGAAGTGATTGTTGGCATCTCAGTTTTTCTTGTACTGGCTTGATATGTGTTTGTTGTTGCCTTGAAGGGTGTCAACGTGCCCTCCTTTTGGTGTGGCCATGCACTTGTTATTTTGTTAGAATATTATCTGTGTGTTTTAATGACGTACATCACTAAGGTTGCAGCGTGAAGTGGGGCCATCATCCGAATCATCCCCAGCACGAGGCCATTTGAATAGTGCGACCACGTGAAGTCTTACGCTGTCGTGCCTGCAGGCAGTCCTTCTTTACGCGGAGACCAATACCCTTTGCGCGTTAGGCAACCATGCTGTTTCACCGCCGGCTCCACGCAATCGGCGAGCGCAGTGGTTCCAGCCCCGCAGCCAACATAATCGCAGATGGACTCTTGAGATCGCAGAATCTTGAAATTGATCTAGCATATGGTTTCTATATAGCAAGTAGGATCAATTAAACGTTTCTGTATGTCACACGGATCTCAAGTATCTGCTGCTTCATGATCAAGCGCAGGCAGACGTGAAACGTAAATATAAGTGATGGCTTTTGTTCGTGAAAATTAGGCTAGCCTAGGATCATGATGCTACATTCTCATAGAGACGTCATAAAAGGTTATTGCGCAGCGGATGCCTTGATTATGAGAGATCGAGCGTGCTTGGCAAAATCCATTTCGCATGCCCGAATTATTTGTCTGCGTAATCTGATAATGCTTCCGCGTGAGAACATATATTACTGTCTAGCTTGAGAGCGTAGCCGTTCATGCTCGAATTGGTCAGTCTAGAAGCAGTAAAAAAAGAAAGTGAGTATGCATTGCCCAGTATGTCGGGGTGAGGTGGTCACCACAGTCCACTACTTAGTCAAGATACTTATTTGTTTTCGCAGTTTACTTAGTATATGTACCACTGATCCAGGTGCGAGTTTATGGCGCGGAAGGCGCGGACGACTGTCCAGTGTGCGTGCAGGCCAGGCATGAATCGAAAGCAGTCTGTGCTAGCATGAGACTCAAACTGTCTAAGGGGAAAAAGAACCTCCCGGTTCTCGTAACCTGCGGTCACACGTATTGCGCCGAGTGTGTGGACGAGATGCAGGCCATGCTTTCGATCTGGTAACAGGTTTTCTTGATTTTGTCTGCAAGTCGAGAAAATCTCAGGCCCATGGTGCAGGCGTGGATCTTATTACTTGTTTTGTTTTTTATGCTTTTTCTTTACATATACAAGGTCCCGCAGACACGGCGGGCGGCACCGTGTGAGCCTCAGTTGTCTGCAAAAAAAGTTGAAGCTACCAGCTCACAGGAGAGTGTGGCCTATGCGTTTTGCTTAGATATTCAAATGTAGACAAAAATTCTATCTTCAATCTACATATGTGCACGCTGAGGACACAACGCGATGGCATAAGCAGTCCGTGTGGGTCTCAATTGCTTGCAAGAAAAATATTGGGGCTTCAACCTTTTCACATCTCAGGCTACCAGCTCACAACAGAGAGTCACCAACGGGTGTTCCTTAGATATAATCCTTGGCATCTGGCCTGGATTCTTTTTTTGCGGGTTTCAAAAATAAGAATCTTAATTTTAACGCTACGCGACCCGCCTCGGCCCCGCCCAGCGCATCCGCGTGAGCATGGTGATTCCGCAGCGCCCAAGTCGCTGGACCCCAAGCAATAAGGGTTGGGTTTAGGGTTTAGGGTTCCGGGTTTATGGTTTATGGTTTAGTTTAGGATTGAGGGCTTAGGGCTCAAGGTTCACGCTTTGGGGTTTAGGGTTTTTTTGGGAGTAGGGTTCAAGACGGTTCGGCTTGGATTGATCGTAGGGTTGAGCCAGGCCCCTCAGGGGCGTAGGGGGAGTGGGGGGGGAAGGGGGGCGGAGGGGGGTGTGGGGGGGGGGGGGGGGGGGGGGGGGGGGGGGGGGGGGGGGGGGGGGGTTTTGTTGAAGATTTGAGGGTTGCGTGCTTCGGGCTTAAGGTCTAAGGTTGAAGGTTTAGGGTTGAGGTTCAAGCTTAGACTCTTCGGCTCGTGCGCCGTGCTCACACCCAACATTCTGTCGTGGCTTTGGGCGGGGAAAAGGGGAGGGGGGGGTGGGGGGGGGGTGTAAGGGTGTGTTAGCTAAAATACAGTGTTTAGTTCAGAGTTCAAGTTAAGCTGCTTGCTTATCAGCTTATCAGGGGGAGGTGCGGGGTGGGGGGGGAGGGCTGATTATAGCTATTCAATATGTGTTAGTTAAAAGAGCTTAGGTTTTGCTCATTGGGGGATGATTGCTTCAGGTAAAGTTTTAAGTACAAAGCTTAGGTTTTGCTTATTGGGGGATGTTTACTGAAATACAGCCGGTGTTTTCACAGCTTCGAGCAAAACAGAGACATGGCACAGAAGAAGAGCAAGGTGGATCAGAACATCCCAGAAAGAGTGAAAGCCTATCTGCTCACCTGTGAGAAAAGGCTCTGTGCTGCTTCTTTGGGTTGGCCTTCTTACTCTGCTCGGAAGCCATCCCATGAGGGGTAGGGGGCGGGGTAGGGGGGGGTTAGCGGGGGGGGGGGGTAGGGGCGGGGGTCGGGTGGGGGGGAGGGGGGGGGGCGCGCGTTTGAGGCAACAAAAGGGTGCGAAAAATGGTTGTGTGGGGGGAGGATTTGGAGGGGGGGTGCCTGTTCTCACAACCTGTACACCTCCGACCCAAACCTCGGCGGATATTGATATACACTATGCGTAAACGCTGGAGGCGCGACATCCAGGGCCATACCAAGTCTTGCTCTCAGACTTGTGTGTAGTTCACAAGAGAAGTTTTTTTGCCACAGTCAAACAAAATATCTTCCCAGGTCCGCAGTATTTCTAAACCCTAAACCCGAAATCCTGCAGTAAAAACGCTATTTCATGCTGCAGGCCAAGAGTCCGCAGCCAGCCACCTCCTTATTTTCTTTACGTCGTCAACGCAGTTGCAGAATGTTTTTTTCTGGACAACCTGCAGGTGAAGCCTCTCAGTGAAGATGATCGTCGCCTACTCGGCCGCTGGCTTGAGGACAGAATAAAAGAAAGAAACGAAGCAAGATAAGGAGTACGTGAAATCTGGCACCAAGTTCATCCGCACCGCTTCTGGAGAGGCCACTTGCTCATTGTTTTTTCTTGCGTTTATAGTTTTTATTTATGTATTTCTGAGGTCTGGCCTGTTGAGACCGAGAGTGAGGAGACGTCTTGCTTTACTATTTTAAGTGGATGTTTTGGTGTATTTATCTGTGTGTGTATCAGGATGAAGGGGACGAGCTCAAGGAGCCAGTGCGGGCCTTATTTGTTGTCTAAAATTAAGCATATTCTTGAAGATGGTTTTCTTTTTTTCTTTTATGAGTATTCTTGGTTATTTTGTTTAAGAATCCTATCTAAGACAAGGAGCTTATCGCAGATGATGACGGACACGACAACGTGCGCGCCTTATTTTGTGAAGCAGTGTTAGATTCTTTATAGGTATTTTCTGTTTATGTAGTTGAAGTGTAATGCTAAAAAGTAAACGCGCAGGACTCTGAGGAAAAAACGGACGTTACTGACAAGCCAGTCTGGGCCTTACTTTCTAAATAAAAATCGAAGTTCATATATTCGTACATATTGATGCTGTATTTGTACGAGGCTGACGAAGTCATGGAGCCAGTGCGGACCTCATTTGTTGTCTAAAATTCAGCATAGTCTTGGTTATTTTGTTTAAGAATCGAGGAGCTCATCGCAGATGATGAAGGACAACGCGTGCGCCTTATTTTGTGAAGCAGTGTTAGATTTTTTTATATGTGTTTTCTGTTTATGTAGTGTAAGTGCAATGTTAAAGGTGATGTTGTTTAAGCATGTTGTTTACAACAAGCAGGATTGCCCAACTGATGACAAGTACGAAGACGCTTGTGTCTCAGCATCTGGAGCGCGCTATTTTAATTGTTAAGCTTTAAGAATTGTTTGCTAAGGGCCGATACATGCGGCTGCTGCTGCGCTGAAGCTGAGCATGGCGACATGCAGAAAAATTTCTGAATAGCAGTGTAGAGAATTTCTTTCGCTATTTTTATAGGCATTTTTGAAATAGATGTGGATTACAGTTGAAAGTATGAGCAACAGGCACACAGCAGCGCCTACAGGCTATATGCATATTTGAAATAGATGTGGATTACAATTGAAAGTAGAAGCAACAGGTACACAGCAGCGCCTACACGAAAAAAAAACATCACAACAGGCTCAAAACAATTTTCAAAATAGCAGTGCAGGGTTCTTTGTTTGGTGTGCTTGGATGCATTTTGTAAATATATGACCATCGCAATTGAAAGTACAAGGAAAAGGCTTACATGAATAATTGCAACAAAAAACATCACAACAAGGTAAAATCAATTTTCAGAATACCAGTGTAGGGACTTTATTTTTGGTCTGTTTCGATGCATTTATCAAATACACAAAAGAAACACCGTTGAAAGTATAAGCAACAGGCGCACAGCAGCACCTGTGCGGACAAAAACATCACAACAAACCAAAACAGTTGTCAGAATAGCAGTGTAGAGATTTTTTAGTATGTTTTGGTGCATTTTGTAAATATATAACAATCGCAAACAGGGTTAGGGTTTAGAGTTCGGTGTTAAAGCTTAGGGTCCTTCTGCAGCCTTAAGTGGCTATATGCATACATGCAGAGCCATATCTTTAGCCATTATATCAAACGACTTCTTGGAGCGATACAAAAGAACGTGGTAGACGCGCTCATGTATAGTTCCATATATATGTTTATTTATTAAGTTTTGCTTCATTTTTTAAGTGGTTATGTAAAAATTATGCCAAAAGAGCCCTAAAGGTCTCAGGCTCATATATATATATATGTATCATTGAAAGTTTGATATTAGATATTATATTATATGTAATGTATAATCGTCGCAAGGCAAGGCTACTGGGTTTACCAAGAGAGCTTCCTCTGACAGGCAATACGACCTGGACAGCGCCCAAGGAAGGCGGATGCCTCGGAGCAACGCGCGGTCGCGAGTCGCGAGGAACCCTAAACCCTAAACCCTAAACCCCAGACCCTAGACCCTAAACCCTAAACCCTTTGCCTCTGAGGTCCTGAAATTGCAGCGACTAAACGAGCTCTGTGCTGGTGAGCTGGACAGCTTGACCTATCAGGCCGGCAATTTCGACTGCAGGGTGGCACTGGCAGTGTTGAGGAAACTCGGAAACTGGAGACTCAACTCGACTAAAGTTACGAACAAAAGAGCTTTGCCAACAGTAATCCTTAGGGCCTTAGGGTGGTCTGCAGACCTGCACTCCAGAGACTCCGCAGCCTGCGGCCCTGCAGGACCTCAAAGAGTTCTATCCGGAGGCAACTCGTCTTCGTTCAGCCATGTGCCGTCTTCTGAAGGCAACTCTAAACGCAACCTTGATGGTTTGGGCAACAAGAAGCCTCGTTCGGAGCCGAAGGGTTTCGGGTTTAGGGTTTAGGGTTTAGGGTTTAGGGTTTAGGGTTAGGGTTTAGAGTTTAGGGTTTATGCAGCTTTTTGCGTTCCAGGAGTTTGCCGCGCGGCAACGGGACAAGCTCAACTACCGCTATCCGGGTGTTGGGGGCGAAAGCTACCAGGATGCGCTGTCAGCGTATTCTCGAGCCTAGAAAGAAACTGCAACGTTTTCTTGTGTACTCTCCAGCACTTCTAGTCTTGACAAATTCATGAAGACGCTGCGGCGGGAGGATGTGCTGTTTAGACTCTCCTTCCTGGTCTTACGACTGGAGCAGATCATTGGCAACGTTCTCATTGTCTGCGACAAGGCATGTTGTTTTGCTACTGGCTTTGTTGTTGCGCGGGCTGTGAGCAGTTTGCCTCTGCCCCAGTGCCATCACGCGAGGCAGTTTGCCGTGTTCTCCTTGCATACTATCGCAGCTTGGATGATCCTAAACCCTAAACCTAAACCCCAAACCCTCCGACTTTGTACCGGCTCCTGCAATTCTGAGTGTCTGGTCATGACGAGAAGCATGAAGCGCGAGCTGACCAGGTGGGGTGAAGAACGAAGACATGCCATATCTCGAGGCGAGACCCGGAGTGTTCCTTGGCAGCATCTTGAACAATGTTTCATTCTGATTACATGAGTGTAAGAATTCTAAAGTAGAAACGGAATAAAAATATAAGCCTATAACAGGAATAACAATAGTCCACGGGAGGAGGGGAGACGGTCTCAGGATGACTTTTGAAAGATCTCACATCGGCTTCACAGAGGACTGCACGCCACACTACCAGATATGGGGGTTTTTCGAAACAGGGGTAAGTTACCCGCTTGGGCGGCTCCCCTATGAAGGATTCGGGTGTTCTGGGGTCTAGATTAGGGGCACCCATGGTTTTCCGAAACAAGCCCACAGCTGCCCTTTTGCAGGATTACGTGCACAAGCTGGGGATGAACCCGAACCCGAATACCACCGGCTCCTGCGCTGAGCTCCAAAGTTGCGTGTAGATGTGCCGGGTCCACCTGCACATCTGCATTTTGTCGCCACCCCCCCATCCCACCCCAATTGTCCGCAACTGTGCGGTAGCAGTCTGGCAGCCGGCGCCATGCGAGAGTGAAGCAGTACAGGTCAGACCCACATGGCTGGCGACTTGTTTCCCCGCGTGCTTGGATATTTCTACGAATCCGGAGCTCTCACATTGCGCCAGTATGCGCAGCGTGCAGCAACTTGCTGTAGCAGCTGAGGAGCACCGCGCTGGTGCTTGTAGACAAACCATATACCCTTTGAGCGCCGCCAACCCTAAACCCAAAACTCGAAACGCTAGACCCTAAAACTGTTTCTTGAAGTTGCCCGTGCTGCTGGCGAAGCAGCCGAGTGCAGTTCATTTCACTTAGCTGCAGAGCTTTTGAAGGCGCATTCGATTCGAAAAGCTGATTAAGACCGCAGGAGTTCGCAAGCCAATCTTCAGCATGAACCACCACCCTCCCTTCACTTCCAAAAGATTGGTGAGCAAGCTATGCCTTGCTGGCTTGGATTTCACAGCCCATGTTTGCGAATTCGAGGAAATCTGTAACTGGATGTATACATGTATGTATATATTAATGTATGTAATGTAATGTAATGTCATGTCATGTAATGTAATGTAATGTACTGTATGTATGTTAGTTATGTATGTATACATGTTATGTTATGTTATGTTATGTTATGTTATGTTATGTTATGTTATGTTATGTTATGTTATGTTATGTTATCTTATGTTATGTTATGTTATGTTATGTTATGTTATGTTATGTTATGTTATGTTATGTTATGTTATGTTATGTTATGTTATGTTATGTACGTATGTATGTAGGTATGTATGTATGTATGTATGTATGTATGTATGTATGTATGTATGTATGTATGTATGTATGTATGTATGTATGTATGTATGTATGTATGTATGTATGTATGTATGTTATGTATGTATGTATGTATGTATGTATGTATGTATGTATGTATGTATGTATGTATGTATGTATGTATGTATGTATGTATGTATGTATGTATGTATGTATGTATGTATGTATGTATGTATGTATGTATGTATGTATGTATGTATGTATGTATGTATGTATGTATGTATGTATGTATGTATGTATGTATGTATGTATGTATGTATTGTGTGTGTGTGTGTGTGCTCAAGTAAGTTCGGGCGTCTCGAGAGAACATGAACAGATGCAGGTGTCATCAACGTATCTCGCTTTTGTTCGACATGTTATTGCCAGGGTTGGAGGTCACAGTTCAAATGTAAAACATTCAAGAATACGGTGTTGCCCCGGTTGTAGCCCGAACGTATTCTAGTGAGGTCTGGCCTTGTGGCGCGCGATGTGCAGACCCCAGTGCTGAGACATAGAAGCGAGTCTACCATGGCACTTGACGGTTCGTGGGTAGCTATAAGTCGGGTTAGAGTACCTGCAAGAAGGTTATTACCAGTTAGAATGACAGCTACCCGACTTACATCACCACTTCTAAATACCCGTGAACCGCAAGCCCTAGACCCTTTTCCCTAAACCCTAAACCCTAGACCCTAGACCCTAAACCCTTCCTGCTGCTTATGCCTCCCAAGCCTTGTCCAAGGGCACTCCCATGGCCACAGCGCGGAGGCGCCACGCAGTTGCTTTGGGAGTCTATTAGGGTTTAGGGTTTAGGGTTTAGGGTTTAGGGTCTAGGATGCTTGTTGATCCTTGTACAACCTTGTACGCCCGGCTTGATTTCGCAGGACTAGGACTCACATAGGGTTTAGTTTGAGGGCGCGTTGTTCGGGTAATGTTCCCTTCGTATGAAATCCCCCCCCCCCGTTGTTGAAGGCCGAGGGCTCCGCAATTAGACAGAAACCTGTGGACGTACCTGTGCAGTCAAAGTATGAGCTGGTACACAGAGTAGGAGAGGCCTGGGGAGCCAGATGAGCAGTTCCCCGCATTGCCCTCCCCCTTCACGGCAAGACCTTGGTTTGCGCAAAGCCGCTTAGCGACGCGCGCCCACGTTCCATGCGCACATGTCAGAGGAGTAGTCCGATGCATGGAACGCGAAAAGGAAAGCCGAGATGGGCAACTTAAACCTCAACATTTCATATACATATATATATATATGTATTATATATATATAGAATACACAGATGTAGACTATATGTATATACACATACATATATGTAGACTATATATATATATATATGGTCTGCTGTTCCACTGGTCCTCTTCTCCCATGGTCCCCGTGAACTGCTTATGCCATAACCGAGCCGCAATTTAAAGGTCGCATCAGCCCCCAGCCAAAGCCAAAGCCAACCCATGCTTTTAAACGTTTCCATGTCCTCGTTGTTTCCCAAGTAAGGCCTTGGAATCTAAGCCACTTGGCAAGGTGAAAGGCCGTGCTGACGCTCTTGATCACTGTTGCAATGGGGGTATCGGCCTATCAACAAAAATGCAACCAGTGCAGCCCCCCCACCCCTCTCGCGCTTGTCAAGACAAGCACATGCCTGGCAAGTCCCATCAAAACATAACAAGACCACAAGCCATATCCCCGCCGCCCCCAACTGACCATCTTTGGTCTTGAACATGTCTTTGCACAGCCACTCAGGGGACCAAAAACGAACCAAAGCAAGACACCCACCTGCTACTGCACAAGTACATGTTTCCTACGTGCAGGCTAAGCCTGTTGCCTAAGTCTCAGTCCAGAACCCTCGTGACACAAGATTCCCCTAAACCCTAAACCCTAAACCCTAAACCCTAAACCCTAAACTCTAAACCGGTGCGCAGGATGCGCCTTTTGGTCGGAATTGGGCAGCAGAAGTTCTGCCGCCTCGCCCCTGAAGGGTGAAGAGTGAAGAGTGAAGGGTGTGGGGGTCTCGCTTCGGGATGTTCCCCCTTATACCAACAGCCCTTAATGAGGATGTTAATAGGGGGGTACTATCATCTCTATTGAGGACGATTAGTAGGAGGGGGTACTGTTATCTCTTTTGAGGACTTTTAGGATAAGGGGGAACATCCCAAGTTTTGCTTCAATAGTCCTGGACACTGGATCACCATGGGGCACCAGCTCTACCGTTGACTATGCTGCATGACTTATTGTCAGGCCACCCCGACCACGGAGGCGCGGGAGTTGCTTCGCCTAGGCCTACGCAGAGCTGTAAGTCTTTTCTCCAACAACTGTCTACCGCAATCTTATGCACTGATGCAGAGCACTGACGCAACACTGCATGGCGGCCACACTGAAACAAGCGACCCGGGTTTAGGGTTTAAAGTTTGGGATTTAGGGTTTAACACCCCCCCCCCTGGGGTTTAGGGTTTAGGGTTTAGGGTTTAGGGTTTAGGGTTTAGGGTTTAGGGTTTAGGGTCTGGCGTTTAGGGTCGTATGCCAGTTGTGACACCAACCCCAGCATGGGCCCATGTCATCGGCCAGGCCGCGAAACACCGGGGCACTTCCCAACAGGCCGAACGCGCCTCCCCGCTCTACCCGCGACCCCCAAACCCAGCCGCAAAACCAAACCCTAAACCCTAAACCCTAAACCCTAAACCTTAAAACCCCACAGAAGACCCAAGGCCCTAAAAACTGCAAGCCGCAAGCCCGATAAACCTAAAACCCATGAACCTTAACCACCCCATCCTAGGCCCCAAGACCCGAAAGCGCTTTGCTTCCCGGAGCCCTAAGCCCTAAAGTTTCTAGACTTCCCAAACTCCCAAACTCTAAACTTCCTTAGCTTCCTTAACTCCCTAGACTCTAAACCCTAAACACTCAAAAACCCGAAGCCATAAACCCTAAACTCCCCAAAAAGAGTCCCTAAACCCTAAACCCTAAACCCTAAACCCTGAACCCTGAACCCTAAACCCTAAACCCTAAACCCTAAACCCTAAACCCTAAACCCTAAACTCCCCCAAAAAAGTCACTAAACACTTAAAGGCCCCCCCAAGTCTCGAGGCTCCTGGGAGCCCTGGCCTTGCTGAGAGATCCCGCAGAATTGGATGGCGAAGGCCTGGTTTAGGGTTTAGGGTTTAGGGTTTAGGGTTTAGGGTTTGGGGTTTGGGGTTTGGGGTTTGGGGTTTGGGGTTTGGGGTTTGGGGTTTAGGGTTTGGGGTTTAGGGTTTAGGGCTTAGGCTTAGGGTTTAGGGTTTGAGGTGCAGGGTTTAGGGTTCAGGGTTCAGGGTTTAGGGCTTACGGTTCAGGGTTTAGGCTCTAGATCTGGCCCTCATACGTGGGAGGCCCATCCGGTCTTTGTTAAGAGAGGGTGTCTCGATTGGGGTTTAAGGGTTTAAGGTTTAGGGTTTTGGGGTCTCTGACGTCTCTGTTGGGGTACACGCTATTATGGGCCTCGCAGGCGACAGCCATACTCCTCGCCCCTTTTCAGTTCCAGTTCGAGTATGTAGTCACACAAGGGCCTTGACTATTCGGATGCTAGTCCGCCATGCTGTCCTGTACTAGTAGCCGTGAGTAGATGGCAACGCCCTTTGAATCAGCCGCCAGCAAGACCAACAGCAGCTGCCCAAACGGAGAGCAGCCAACAGCAATCTAGGGTACATGCTGCAGGGAAGTGCATGATATACGTGCCTGCCGGCTGTTCTTGAGAAGCTGAAAACCCTAAACCCGAAACCCGAAACCCTAGGGGCGCGTTGCTTATCTTGGGGTTTAAGCGTTGTCTCGACATGTGACAGGACTTGGGCGTGCCGCCACGGCGGCAGCACGTCCGGATCTTGGCCCGCTGCAGGGGTTTAGGGTTTGGGGTTTCGGGTTTAGGGTTTAGGGTTTAGGAGGACAGCAGAGCAACCATAACAAGAGCGCGACATGCTTAACAGGCACGACGTCTTCTTTGGGCCACAAGACGTTTGCTTACATGGCCCTGGCAGCAAGCATCGACATACAGAAGCTTGCCGCTCTGAAACCTGAGGCGGTCAAGATTTCATGACACCTGCAGCTCTAGACTCTCCTATTTCTGCTTGAGGGTTTGGGGTTTGGGGTTTGGGGTTTGGGGTTTGGGGTTTGGGGTTTGGGGTTTGGGGGCGTAGGTTTTAGGGTTTTAGGTGTTCTTCTTGCCCTCCCTCGAAGTGCACATTCCACCGAGGGGAGGGCCTCGATGCGAAGGCCTGGTGGGGCGGCGCTGACGAAGCGAACCAAGGACGTTGGGCGCTGCTGTCGGGTTTCGGGTTTTAGGGTTAGGGCTCAGTGTTCAGGGTTAGGGTTTTGGGGTTAGGGTTTGTTAGGGTTGAGGGTTTAGGGTTTAGGGAAGGTTACTTATTGAAGCTTCATGGGTACTCAGACGTATGAGTATAAGAACTTATAAGAACCCAACAGTAAGGGTGATATCCCAGTTAGAGAATTCTAGTTGCCCTACTTATCATTATAACCCCACTCATATCACCCTTTTAACCTCCAAATAAAGTGAAACCCTAAACCCTAAACCCCTAAACATGAATGTATTGCGACCTTCGTAAAAGTTTTGGGGGGTTTTACGAAAATAAGGGACCACCGAATATAGTCCCCCAAATAGTACTCCGGTAGGATTCCCTTTTTGTCAGAACCCCCCCCAAAAAGGTTTACCCCTATGTTCGGAAACCCCCATTTGTGTTGCTGTTCCTCGTGAACGAAAGGAGCTGTCCGATTCCTTGGCCATGCATGAGTATCCCTCATCCTCAATGGCATGGAAGATCCAGGCCTCCATCCCTACACCCTGAAACCTAAACCCTAAACCATCCTAAAAACCCTCCTAAACCCTCCTAAACCCTCCTGAACCCTCCTAAACCCCCTCCACCCCCTAACCCTAAACCCTAACCCTAAACCCCGAAACCCTAACCCTAAATCCTAAACCCTAAATCCTCAACCCTCAACCCAACCCTAAACCTAACCCAAACCCCAAACCGCAAAGATCCTTTGCGCCGTGGAAGGCGCCTGGACAAAGCAGCTGTCTGGGGCCCTCCATGCGATCCTTCTTTCAGGTGCAGAAGGAAATCTACGTAGAAGTGCTGCTGGGGGTTTAGAGTTTAGGGGTTTCGGTTTTAGGGTTTAGGGCTTTTTCTTTCAAGCAGACGCATGATGTTGACAGGATATATACGCTGTGATCCACCAAATTGAGTTCACAACCTTGCTTCCGCGCATCTGTGCCACCTTGTCAGCCAGCAGTTTAGGGTTTAGGTTTTAGGGTTTAGGTGTAGTGGTTTGGGTTTAGTGTGGATGCAAGTCTGGCCATGCCCGGGAAACGGAAGCTCACGCGAGATCCGAAGCCGAACTGCAAACCCTGCAACCTAGACCTTGAACCCTAAAACCCTAAACCCTAAACCCTAAACCCTAAACCATAAACCCTGAAAACCCTGAACCCTGAACCCTGAACCCTAAACCAAACCCTAACGGACCTGAGCCTTGGAGCGAACCCGAAGACCCTCCTCCGGAAGTTGGCTCCTCGGAAGGGCACAAATGGGACCCATAATATATAGGTTGGTCCCCTCAGGGTCACAGGGTTGGAGGGGTGAGGGGTCGACGTCGGTCTATTGGGGTCCATTAAAAAAAAAAGCAGATCCATGAGCATTCCATTGTGGAGTCGGTAAGAGTGGCATAGGAGTCCCATCCAATAGGGACAAAGTTTTCGGGCACACCATCTTCAAGGTCGCATAGGGGCTTAGGGTTTAGGTTAGGGTTGAGGGTTTAGGGTCTAGGGCCTTAGGGTTTAGGTGATTGGGTTCTGGGAGTTCTCAGAATTATCGTCCCTTTGTGGGTACGCTATATTTCGGGAGGGGGGGGGGGATAACCCTAAACCCTAAACCCTACTAGTAGGGCCTTCTAAGCCCTTTTAAGCCCTGACCGACTTTGGAAGCCAGGTATATCTCACCTCTGCCCACCTGGCCATGCTCGCCAGTTCTGTCGCCAAGGTGCCCATTGATGTGGGCCTTGCAGGGCTTTATGGGGATTGTAGGTTTATAGTAGGTTTTGAGGGTTTAGGGTTTAGGGTTTAAGTTCTGAGGGCTTTGCAGTTTATAGGGCTATGTAGGTATAGCGTGTGCAGGACGTGCCGGCTTCTTGCAGAGCTTCTTGGGTTTAGGGTACCCTAAACCCTAAACCCTAGACCCCTAAACCCTAAACCCTAAGCCCCTAAACCCTAAACCCCTAACCCCTAAACCCTAAACCCGAAACCCTAAACCCTAAACCCTAAACCGTGCTTTATGGCTTTGCAGGTTGACTGTGGAGGGGCTTGAAGGTTTCGGCTTCTGAGTTTAGGGTTTAGGGTTTAGGGTTGAGGGTATAGGGTATAGTAGGTGTTCTGAGGGATTTGCAGTGGTGATGCTACATTGGCCTGTGGAAGTCAGGAGACTGAACTAGCTGATGTGAGCTGCGCGAAGACCACAAAACACGGGGGCATATGGGTTCTATGAGAGAGCCCTAAACTTTAAACCCTATAAAACCCTATAGACCCTAAACCCTATAAGCCCTGTAAACCCTATAAGCTCTATAAACCCTTTAAACCCTATAAACCCGACAAACCCTATAAACCCTATAAGCCCTATAACCTCATTGCCATCTGGAGGCCGAGATACACAATGCGCAGTTCACTACCCTCTTGACACGTGAGCTCAAGGCAAGGAAGCCACTTGGTTTAGGGTTTAGGGTTTAGGGTTTAGGGTTTAGGGTTTAGGGTTTAGGGTTTAGGGTTTAGGGTTTGGAGATGAGGCAGCGCTTGACGGATCTCCACGGATCGCGGCGAACTTTACCTTGGCTTACAGCTGCAGAGGGAAACGAACGACGTAGCTGTTCAATATGTTCTAGCTGGCATACAGAAAGGGGTTTAGGGTTTAGGGTTTAGGGTTTAGGGTTGGTTTGTCCTCGACAGCACGCCCTCCGATCACCTCCGTCAGTACGAGGTTGTGAGTTGTTTAGTTTTGTTTCGGACACATGCTGCTTCAGCGATGATGTCTGTTGTGGTTGCGAGCCGTAACCTTGCGGTACTGCAACAAGCCTAGCCTGTGAGAAGGTGCGCCTATCCAGGGCGCAGGTGTGCCGTAGGACCCGCAGATGCCATGCGGCTCTACTTGTACTTGTTGTGGAGATGGGTGCCGGGCTGAGCCATGCCCTGAAGAAAGCGCTTCACTTTGACAGTGTGGGTTTTTGTCCAGCCTCATCAGACGTATGCTGGACGAAGTCTCTTTGGACTCAGAGCACAAGCTTCTGCACCTACTAATTGCTTAAGAACCCCAAAAAGATGAAACAAATTCTTCCTTATTCAGGGTCATTTAGGGATTACATTTTTTTGTTTTTTTATTTTTTTTGGGGTTCTTAAGCAAATAGTAGTCTCTCGTACGGATTGAAAGGACTCAGAGTACAAGACCCTAAACCCTAAACCCTAAAACCCTAAACCTTAAACCCTAAAACCCTAAACCCTAAACGCAGCAGAGCAGTTCCAGAGTCAGGTGCGAAGTGTGCTGCAGTACTTGAATGGCAGCGACTACATTGCTGGGACCGTTGCCTTCTCCGTAACCTGCATGCAATCACCCGAAACCCTAAACCCGAAACCCCAAACCCCAAACCTTAAACCCTAAACCCTAAACCCTAAACCCTAAACCCTAAACCCTAAACCCTAAACCCTATACCCTAAACCCTAAACCCTAACCGTGGCTCACAGCACCGTGCCAACTTGGGTTGTGGGCAGACGCTTTACATGTGTGGATTCTGAGACCTGTGAGCATTCCTCCGGCAAGCCAGGCTGTTTTCCGGGAGTCGACCCTACAGACCCCAAAGCCTAAACTTTAAACCTAAACCCTAAACTCCAGAATCCCCAATCCCTCCTACTAGCTCTGCCACTACTTCTGCTTCTGCCCAGCTACGGAGGGTAGTGTTTCTCAGGTCACGTCCATGCCATACTGTGTCAGGCAATGGGAATTGCACGAGATGCGTCTTCGAAGCTTTTCCAGATGTTTTGTGGCTTGGCAAATGAGAATCTGGACTGGCAAACGGTGTCGCCCTTACAGGACGCGAATCCTTTGATTAGTCTTGAGTTCCCAAGGCTTCTTGTCCTCGTGGGGGAGGGGGTCGAATAGAGGACTACGTTGCAGTGTCCATGAACACGAGGAGTAATTAGTCCGATGATATTCTAGGTATGAAAGAGTCTCGCAGGGTTTTCAAAGTTGCCACGCGATTTTAAATTTTGTTGCGTGGTTCAGCGGTGCACGGTCGTCTGATCCTGTTCATGAGATGTCCGTCGAAATTTCAGGTGATTGGGCAATTCGCCGGCTCTGGATGACAGTGCGGTTGAACGAAAAAGCCACTCAGCTTTAGCATGCAGCCGCAGCATGCATTGCCTTGTTGCACAGAGAAGGAATCCCGAGCTAGCTCAGAAGCCCTAAACCATAAACCCTAAACCCTAAACCCTAAACCCTAAACCCTAAACCCTAAACCCTAAACCCTAAACCCTAAACTGCGCATGAGGAGGCTGACCTCGTGCTTGCCTGGCTGCGAGAGCAACCGGCCATCCACGATGCGTCGGAGCTGTGGCTCTACGGCCAGCGTTCGGAGGGCAAAGCCACTCGTAGCTTGGACTGCACCAGCATGGCAGGTTCAGCAGAGCAGGCTGAAGGGGCAGTATGCAAACGGATTGAGATGTAGAAGCTTGGTATGACTCCGTATGGCCAGGCTAAATCTCGATCATCTCGCATGGGGGTGATCCAGCAAGCAGACTGGCACTCGCATCTCTTCGCGCCTCTTTGGTAAGTTGTTTTTCGCAGGCTACGAATACGAGCCGGAGATAAAGGTCACCTCGCGTCTGCGGTACGGAGCTCAGAGTGGCCTCTTTGCATTCGGTGATATTCTGTGACTCTGCGACAGGCTTACATTTTGAATCCTCACATTGTACATATTGTTATGTCCTTATTAAGGTACTACGTATTATGCTGTAAAACTACTTCATATTTTTATCTTGTGATATTAAGCTAGTATCGCAGTCGGTCCAAGGTGTCAGAAGCCAGATGGATCCAGTCAGTGGGTGTGGCTTAGCTGCAAGACCAAATCGAACACCCTCGTAGCTGGTCTACACTGCGCGAGGTCCCTTCCTTGTGCGCATGGGTTCGGAAGTCTCGGAAGTCATCCATCCTCAAGTCTATAGCCCCAAATCCAGCAGCAGCAGGCCTCTTTTCAATGCTGAATATACTGCGTCATCAGGTGGATCACGCGCGAGAGCCGCGAGGGCTCTGGCGGAAATCGTGCCACGGTATCCATCCTGGGCCGGGACAAGGCGAGAACCCTAAACCCTAGACCCTAAACCCTAAACCCTAAACCCTTTGCAGAGGGGCCGATACGTTGGACCAGACATTCGGGCTTCAGGCGTAGTGCTTCAGGTCCTGGGCTTGTGACATTACAATCTTATAACATGATATATTTGAATCATTAGTCTGCATTTTTATGGTATACGGTATCATTACGCCATCATATGGTTAAATGGTTATATGGTTGTATTAATGTGTTCTGCTATAGTATGCGATGATATGAGCCTGTACAAACACATATAATTGTTGCTGTTAATTATCGTTTATGCATCATTGTATTATTATACCGTTTTGTTACTATATTGTTATATTGTTGTATGAATATATTGTTATTGTAGTACATTTGTTTTGATGTTGTGATTGCCCGACTAGATGCTTCTTTGATTGTGTGTTTATGCTAATTATGTTCTGTCATATGATAGGATATACATATACAGTTAAATCCTTTTTTGGGATAATATGTGTTGGTGTATCATTGTACCAAAATATTGTTATGTTCTTATATTCGTGACTCGTTGTTTTTTGTATGATTATACGATTGTATGCGTATATCATCATACTATACTATACTATGTTGCTATTGCCTGAGTATAGTATTATGTTACTAGATTACTGTTTTGTCTTTTCTATTTTTATGTTGTTACACTGCATGTTAGTATATCAGCATCATTCGCATTTTCGTAGTTTTTTTCATTTTGCGCCTTTGGGGGGGAGCGTGTTATTGTCACCTTGTTGTTTTGTTCTTAGTAATATTGCAACTGTATGGTCATATACTACTACATCATTATAAAAACTATATGTCGATTATTGATTCCACGATGCCATTTGATTCGTTTATCATGAAACTGTCGTCATGCTACCAGTATCTTCTTCTTGTCTAACTATTTGCTTAAGAATCCCCCAGACAGAAAATCCCTACAATACCCTTATAAGGAAGAATATTTCTATTTTTTGGGAGTTCTTAAGCAAGTGGTAGTTGTGGTTCCTAATGATTCCAGTAGGACTGGTGCATCGCCTTCATTGCCCAAACCCCCTAAACCCCCTAACCCCTAACCCCAAACCCCGAACCACCACACTCCAAACCCAAAGCCCCGTAAACCCCTAAACCCCCCAAACCCCCCTATACCCCGAAACCCCTAAACCCCCCAAACCCCCCAAACCACGAACCAAACCCCAAATCCTAAACCCTAAACCCCTAAACCCTTGAAAGGTGGTCTTGGAGAACATGCTCGAGGAAGGCCGCGAGATCCAGCGGCGCAAGAGAGAGAGACCAAGCGAAAGAAGCTCGTGGGTAGTTCTCTAGATTACGGTCCCCTTTTGGGCTCCCTTGGTATGGGTAGTTCTCTAGATTAGGGTCTCTTTTTGGGTCCTGTGTATGTGGGTGGTTCTCTAGATTAGGGTCCCTTTTTAGGTCGCTTTTTTGCGGGTAGTTCTCTAGATTAGGGTCCTTTTTTGGGTCCCCTACATAGAGCGGCATGGTGATGGATGTCACAATGGGGGGTTAAGGGCTTGAACCTAAGATTACTACCGCCACGTGATGAGGGTCGGTCTCCCTGTTATCCTGAAATCATCATCAAGCCATCCAATCGGAATCCGAGATCCCGCGCCTGAAGACTCTGACAGAATGTCGCCTCAGAATGGGCGTCCAATCATCGTGGACTGCGTTGTCTTGGGAGGCGAAGTGAACGCACCTGTCAACGAATCCCAAACTAGGGCAGCGCCCAAAACTGAACTTTTTTTTTAGTTGTAAGGGTTTAGAGTTGAGGAGGTTTTCGCGCGCGAATATTAGTAGCCTCCGACAGACTCCATTTCGAGTTCACTTTTCGGGGTCGTTGAGCTAGGTTCATTGGCTCCTAGGTTCGATAGTTCATTGCACTCCTCGTGCACGCGGATTCTTGGGCCTTTCATCGCTTGTTGCGCGCTCCAGGACTTTCCATGCTGTGCTGCAAGCATTGTCCAGAAATCGCGCCAAGGGATGGGCATTTTATTCGCCCTAGGTTGCCATTTAAACTATACTTCGAACACAAAACCTGAGCCCCGAGAATATTACGCAAGCCCTGACGCCCTGGCTTGTCAAAGAATCAAAAAGTCAGCAACTCGATGCTTGAAAAAACCGCTTGAAGGACGCACCGAAAGTTGGGAGTTGCAGCAGTGTTCGTGCCAAGCAGCCTAAGTGTCTGAAGTGTCCTCGTCATCTTATGCCATCTTTCCCGCAAGCCCAGGAAGTTCTTAACCCTAAACCCTAAACCCTAAGCTTGCCCTAAACCCTAAACCCTAAACCCTAAACCCCCAAGCCCAGGAAGTTCTTGACTGTCGTGCAAGTGTACGACTTCGGAAAGGAGCACGGCCTCAACTGGCTGCACCCGCAGGAGATGCCTTGGTTGCGTGACACAGCAACGAAATCCTTGACACACACACACACACACACACATATATATATATATATATATTTATTTACATACATATAGATAGATACATACATATGCGTGTATGAAATATGTCGCTATGACCAGGCTGGGCTGCGTTCTGCCTACAGGACAAAGATCGAAAGCAGCCCGGGCGGTCCATCGCGTCCGTTGTGTTGCTCGGCTTGAAAGGAGCTTTTGGCTCCCGAAACATGACTACTTGAAGGTTCATGGGTAGCTGTAAGTAGGCTTAGAGCTACCCTAAACAAGGTTATAACCAGTTATATCTAATATCCAGTTAGAGTTAGAGTTGCCCTACTTATATCCCCACTTATGCCTACCCGCGAACCTCCAAGTAGCCACGCAGCCCAGCATCGTGACCCCTACATTGCAGGCTGCCTCGCTGCGTTGCTGGAAGCTCGGGCATCGACCAAGCAGAGGCGCTGGAGAGTGACGTTTTCTATCGGGCGTCGAGGCTTCATAGCAAGGTCAACCCTCAACCCTCAACCCTAAACCCTAAACCCTAAACCCTAAACCCTAAACCTTCGAGGCAGCCTCTGCCCCCTCTTGCAGGCCCTGCTGGAAGACGCTCGAGAATTTCTCAACTCGGAGACCTGGTATACGGAGCGGGGCATTCCATACAGAAGAGGCTACCTGCTCTATGGCATTCCGGGCGGTGGAGCCTTGGTGGAATGAGGTTTTGCAGTTCATCCTGTTGAAGAGCAGCGTCTCTTCGGGCCAGTTGGAGGTCATGAGGCTGGCTTGCTTTCAGAATCATGCTGGTTTGTCCTCAAAAAATCCGCTTGCTTGAGAATCCCTCCCCTTGCGAGGGAAAGGCCATGATCACGAGCCTTGCAGCCCAGGAAAAAGCTCCTTGATCATGGCTGTTGCCTCCGAGCTGCGCCTGCCAATCTACATGCTCAGCTCCTTGGGCTGCTCAGGGTTTATAGTTCAGGGCTTAGGATGCACTGTGATCCTAAGCCCTAAGCCCTAAGCCCTAAACCCTAAACCCGAAACCCTAAACCCTAAACCCTAAACCCCCAAATCTCTCAAGATGCTGGATCTTGCGCACCGTCAAGTCGAAACATCAAACTTCAAAGGCTTCTCTTCCGAGCGGATGAATGACGAGGTGCTGAGCTCGCTGCTGCCACGGGGCTCATTACTGGGGTCATGTCTGGTCAACGATGTCTGAGCGGGACTTCTTGCAAATTGCGGGTCTGATTGTGTTTTTAATGTTTCTGAATGACTGCGTTGAGAGAGTGGGTGGCGTTTGCTATTCGTGTTGTCAACTGCACTTCTGCGGTGTCAAGGCAGTACGGCATGCATGATCCGCCGACCATCCTGCTGCTTGAGGACTCGAGGGAGCTGTTGTGTTACTCAATTTTCTTTGCGCCGTTTTTTTGAGTGACCAGTAAGCTACCAATTGCTGAAAGTAGAAGGATGTTGACCTTCTACACTCAGCGGTGCTTAACCGTTGCCTGGCCGCATCATCAGACCTACCACATCGGTTTCGGTATCGCCGACCAGGTCGCGATACTTGTTTTCATAGATTAGCACCCTAAACTCTAAACCCTAAACCCTAAACCCCAAACCCTAAACCCTAAACCCTAAGCCCTAGATAACCCCTTCTTTGCGGCAAGGCCACCGGCAGCTGCAAGACGCTGCTGGGGATTCCAGCCCCGCTGACCGGGACCGACAGCGGGTTTAGGGTTTAGGGTTTAGGGTTTAGGGTTTAGGGTTTAGGGTTTAGGGTTTAGGGTATGTGGCAGCAGCCAACCTGTGGACTCGTCTTGTTTTCCAAATGGGGGGGTTTCCGAAAATAGGGGGAACCCCTAGTAGGGAGCCCCAAAAGAGCAGGATTCCCTTATAATAAGGACCCCAATAAGGTTCCCCCACTTTCGGAAGCCCCAACTACGCTGCAGGACAAGGACAGCCCGGACAAGGGCTACGAGAAAAGTCGCCGAGGCAAGTCGGCAGGAATTTGAGACAGAAGCTTGAGGTTTGCAGCTGAAAAGAGATCGCAAGTTGCTTCAAGAGATGGAGCATGTTCCTCTAAACCCTAAACCCTCAACCCTAAACCCTAAACCCTAAACCCTAAACCCTAAACCCTAAACCCTAAACCCTAAACCCTAAACCCTAAACCCTAAACCCTAAACCCTAAACCCTAAACTAAGATTGCTCAGGACGCCTGACGCTTTCTGGGCTCCTGAACGCGCTGGACGGCGCCTCAGTTTCGATGCATGAAAGCCAGGTGTCCGATGCGCAGCTAAGCGGCTCCTCTCTAAAGCTTAGGGTTTAGGGTTTAGGGTTTAGGGTTTAGGGTTTAGGGTTTAGGGTTTAGGGTTTAGGGTTTAGGGTTTAGGGTTTAGGGTTTAGGGTTTAGGGTAGCCATAGCATAGTTCATCCCAGTTCAAAGTTGCCGGTCGAGCTTCGTGGTAGCATGTTGTATCATCCTAAGTCCCTCGACAGAAACGGGGTTGACGAAAACAGGGGACCCCTAAAATACACTCCCAAGTAGTAGGATTTCCTTATAATAAGGACCCCAACAAGGTACCCTTGATTTCGGAAACCCCCATGTTACCCTAAACCCTAAACCCTAAGCCCGCGCAGGATGGCCCAACAGCCACCACGGGAAGGCTCCTCTTCATGACCACCAACGATCGAGGCCGGGAATCTGAGTGAGGTGCAGAAGCAAAGAACATATATGAATCATAATATAATAGTAATAATAGTAATAATATTAATAATAACATTAATATATTATACGGTTGTTGTATATTATTAAAGAGAAGCGTAGGGGTAGCGATGTCATAGCGGTGCGTCTTTACTTGACGGGAAGTTCTCAATCTGGCAGATGCTCTCGATCCTGCGCTCTTGCGGAGTGGTCGAATTGATTACGAGCCTCGGCATCAAGAAAGGTTGTGTGTGTTGTCGCTCAATCGCCAAGATGTACGGTCTCACGGACAACATGCCACAAGCTCTTCTGGGGCAATCTGTGGGAAGGGCTTGAGCGGACGCTGCGAAAGAAATTGCGGACGCTCGCAGCCACTTCTGTCCTGTCTTGCCACGTTCTCCTCTGAAGGAGTTAGAGTTCAAAGCGGCGGTGCCAGACCAGATCCAGCGCCTTTTCACTCGGAGCCCTGGCAGCATTTGCGTCGTCGTGGCTCCCGTGGTTCGATATGACCCGTTTTGGGGGGTTTCCGAAATTAGGGGTGCCTTATTGGGGTCCTTGTTATAAGGGATCCTACTAATTACCTGGGAGTCTGAACCCTAAACCCTAAACCCTAAACCCTAAACCCTAAACCCTAAACCCTAAACCCTAAACCCTAAACCCTAAACCCTAAACCCTAAACCCTAACCTTTCAGCTCCAAGCAAATCCTATGGGGGACTATATTTGGGGGTCCCCTAAACCCTAAACCCTAAACCCTAAACCCTAAACCCTAAGCCCTAAACCCTAAACCCTAAACCCTAAACCCCCCTTTTGAGCTTGGCTTCCGAAGGTTCTACGCCGACTTTGGGCGCTCCACCTCCGTCTCGATGCTTGCCGCGCAAGAAGAATGGGGGCTTTCCGAAAGTAGGAGGCCCCTAAGATGGACCCCCAAAGGCCACTCAGGGTTTAGGGTTTAGGGTAATAAGGGAACCTAAAATCGACCCCCAAATAGTAGACTGCCCTTATAGTGAGGACCCCAATAAGGTACCCATTTAATATCGTAAACCCCCAGATCAAGAGTCTAGGAGCACGTGCAGCAATCTTGTTCGCAAAGCTGGGGCATGGCGCCTTGCAGATACCATTCGCACTTCGGAGGCTGACCGTTTGATGTCTAAGTGGCCTTACAATGTATACATTGGGATGTTCCCCCTTATACTAACAAGACTGTTTGTATAAGGGGTAACATCCCAAACCCTAAACCCTGACCCTAAACCCTAAACCCTAAACCCTAAACCCTAAACCCTAAACCCTAAACCCTAAACCCTAAACCCTAAACCCTAAACCCTAAACCCTAAACCCTAAAGGGGGCACATCCCGATGTACCCACATCCTTGGTCCTTAGGTCGCCGGGAGGTGGCAAAGCCCGTGCCGCGCCCGACGAAGGCGCCCAAGCATGTCTTGACACACTGGGCCACAGAAAGCAAGCCGGGCTTGGAGGTTCATGGGTGGTTTAGGGTTTAGGGTTTAGGGTTTAGGGTTTAGGGTTTAGGGTTTAGGGTTTAGGGTTTAGGGTAGTTACATGTGGGGGTATAAGTAGGGTAACTATACTTACAACCTCGTTTAGGGGTACTTATCACCCTACTTATAACTACCCTTGAACCTCCGAGTGGTCTAACGCATCTGCTCCACGCCCGCTGCAGGCGATGATGCTCTTAGCAAGCTTTCCACGGAGGACTTAAGGGTTTAGGGTGTGAGGGCTTTAGGGTTTAGGGTTTAGGGTTCAGGGTTTAGGGTTTAGGGTTTAGAGTTTCCCTGCTGTCTGGTGCCGTCTTTTAACACCAAAGCGGCGAAAGCACCAGCTAGTGAGGCAGCCGTGTCCTACTCTGATTGTTCTGAGGGTAGTTTCATGGGCCCTTAATACGTACAGGGTATATAAGGTGTTCTTTTTAGGGGTACCCTTTTAAGGGCCCATACTAAGGGGCCATGTCACTACCCTTAGACTGATTGTACCCTAAACCCTAAACCCTAAACCCTAAACCCTAAACCCTAAACCCTAAACCCTAAACCCTAAACCCAGGGCTCACTTGCAACCTTTTCGACAGGAACTCGCCGAGCTTTTCGCGAAGAAGCTGGACGGTTCTGGGAAGAAGTTAACGACAGCAGACATCCAACGGTAGCCCGGCGAAGGAGCAGACTTAGGGTTTAGGGTTTACGGTTTAGTTTAGGGTTTAGGGTTTAGGGTTTGGGGTTTAGGGTTTAGGGTTTTGGGTTTAGGGGTTTTGAGTCTGAGTCTCATGCTTCTGAAGCCTCAGTGTTGTCTGCCTGGGTGCTTTATACAGTCGAAGCTGGCCACTTGTAGCAGGCCTCAGCGCTGTTTTCTGATAGCTGAGGCATCTCATGAAGCGCAAGAAGAGCCCCAAAAGGGCTGTTGAGGAGGCCTGCTCTTGGGAACTCTTGAGTAATCCGCCTCCCGAACACTCCGCCACTCTAGAGGTATGAGTTGCCCACGCGGATGGAGCAGAAGAGTTGCCAAGCTTGTTGAACTTGCCTCGCCTGATGCAGGTGCAAGAACTGTTCCGAGCTCAGAGCTAGCTCCCCCTAGACTGATGATCTTCAATCAGAGTCATACGGTCTGACATGGTGGCACGGTGCTGATTCCAGGCTTGACACTTTCTCCACCGGAAGTGACGTGCACAGCTGAGACCAGAGTTGCTGGGTACCAACTTTTCTTGGCATCCATGCCAACTCTGCGAAGCAGTTGATAAATCAAATCGTTTAGGGTTTAAGGTTTAGGGTTTAGGGTTTAGGGTGCTTTCTGAGACGGCGCTGTCTCGATGTGCGGTGAGGCGTTGCCGAAAGACTCGTCGTGCGCAGCGAAGTGAGATGGTCTCTGCCAAGACGTGGTCCTAATTGGGGGTTTCCCAAAATTGGGGTACCCCTTCTATACCCCAAATAGAAAAGACTCCCCTTGAAGGGACCCCCCAAAAGGGTACCCCTATTTTCGGAGACCCCCCCGATGAAGATGGTCTTCTCAAACTTGCCCTGTCCTTGATGGGTGCAGAACTACCGCAAGAGTAAGCCTGCGTTGAATGGTGGTGGTGCTCAAAACCCCTTAAATAAGGAATTTACCTTAAATCATATTCAGGATCCCTATATTTTTTACGGTATATTCCTTATTTAAGGGGTATTGGGCTCTTTGGGTGGTGTTCAAAACTGGACACCGCCCTGCCCACCGAGATCCTTAAGCCGCGGGGCTTCCAGCCACGTGCTTTGTACATATGCGATCTTCGAGTCGGAATAGAGGAGAAGCGGCAAGTCAAACTACCCTAAACCCTAAACCCTAAACCCTAAACTGCTAAACCGTTGTATCATATGTGGTGTCTCCCGGAGCAGGCGACGGTCATGACAGCCACACAAGTTCACCTTCGCTTCCCCTCTGTTTCTGTAGAAGATCTGCTTGGATGAAAAATGCCTGGCTTGCATGGCATGGAGAGTGTCGAGAGTGTCGACCACGGAGGGCCCTCTGTTTTTGCAGTTTCCTAGGTTTGGCCTAGGAAAACCTCCCGTTTCCTCGAGTGTTTCTTCGGACGCACCTGCGTTTCCAGATTCGCAGACGAAATCTTCAATTCCCTCGGATTGTTGAAAGAACATCACCCGTTTCTTAACATTATCATACAAAACAGAGATTTTCCTATGACTTCTGTGTGCACAAGACGCACATAGGAAAGGCCAGAGGGAATGAATGACCAAGGGTGGAAGGAAGGAACACGCCATCCCCGACATGAAGAGTTGCTTCACAGCCCACATGAACCCTTTCCAAACCGGACTGCAAGCATTGTGTTTGCATGAAAGAATTACAATGCCATCCAGAGGCTTTTCGGGTTTAGGGTTTAGGGTTCAGAGCTTAGGGTTCACAATAAGATGTACAATGAATATAGCATAAAAGGAAAAATCACCAAACATTCTTTGTGCAGTAAATTGTTTTTGGCCGCCACAGTAGCAAATGAAAATGACATGTACATTGTATACAAGTATACATGTATATATATATATATACATGTATGTATATATATATACATATGCATATATATATATATATATACACATAAATGTATTCTTCGTATTGTCTCTATCGTCTTTTATGCATCCTGATTTATGTATTTGGCATTAACGTATACATAAGTCACATATCACATCATAAGAGTTTAACCTTCTAAACTACACGATAGTAGATTGAGTTCAATCTGTCAATGTAACTTTGTGAATGGAATATAGCTTCCAAATGAACCAACAGGTAAGCAGAACTGGTGATGAGGGGCGAGCCTAATCCCGGAGATAGGTGGCTGTAGGGTTTAGACTGTTAGGCGCTTTAGGCTTGAGCGTTTAGGAGTTCTGGGCGTTGGGCTCTCGGGTGGGGTTTTGTTGCTGTGGACATGCCCTTCCGGGGTAACGGGAGGCTTTAAGTGGGTATTTCCCAAAGCAGGGGTACCACTTGTATACCCCAACTAGAATAGACTCCCCTTAAAGGGACCCCCAAAAACGGTTCTCGTCTGAACGTCAAAGTGATGAAACTTACAAAGTGATGAACTTGAAACTAGCGCAGGTAAGCGACGGAGTAATTTTAACGCTACGCGACCCGCCTCGGCCCGGCCCAGCGCATCCGCGTGAGCATGGTGATTCCGCAGCGCCCAAGTCGCTGGACCCCAAGCAATAAGGGTTGGGTTGAGGGTTGAGGGTTGAGGGTTGAGGGTTCCGGGTTTATGGTTTATGGTTTGGGGTTTGGGGTTGAGGGTTAGTTTAGGGCTCAAGGTTCACGCTTTGGGGTTGAGGGTTTTTTTGGGTTTAGGGTTCGGCTTGGAGTGATCGTAGGGTTGAGCCAGGCCCCTTAAGGTTTAAGGCGACTCGGAGGGTGGGGGGGGGGGGAGGGGAGGGGGGGGTAGGGGGGTGGGGGGGTGGGGGGGTGGGGGGGGGTGGGGGGGGGGGGGGGGGTGGGGGGCGGGGGTGGGGGGGGGGGGTGGGGGGGGGGGGGGGGGGGGGGGGGGGGGGGGGGGGGGTGGGGGGGTGGGGGGGGGTGGGAGGGGGGAAGGGTGAACAACGGTGGGGGGCCCTGCTGGGAGGGGCTTCAACTGCCTCTGGTCGAACCGTCAAAAAAAGGCCTCGGCGGATTACGTCACTCTATGGTATTCATATGTCTGTGGACATCCGGAATCTAGAATCAATCGTGGCTCTCCTTTCAACGTAGGGGTACATAGAGCGGATAGAGGATGTGTGGTTTCTCGAAAAAATACCCCCAAAACTCCAGTCCCACCCAGTCTAGTAATTCCAAAACTAATGTGACTAATGGCACTGCGGCAAAACAGAAAAGCGTCATCTACACTTTATTATCTTGCGGGTCAGCCTCGATACATTTTGTCCTACGGGTCAGCCTCGACATAGTCAAGCAGTACCTGACAAACATGCTGGTATGCTCAGCAAGGACTCAGAACGGCCTAGCCTTGAGAAGTTTTTGGGCATCCGCCCGCGTAGCCGTCTTCACCAGTTCCTTGGTTCAACGCCGAAGCCATGCGGCATGGTCCAAGGAGCAAAGTTTAATAGCTGATGTGACTTTTTTATGTGTTGGATTTGTACTAAGTAGACTTGTGAGCATGGAGAGTTCTAGCATGTGAGCCAGTGAGACAGCAGTGTGTGAAAGTGGCCCTCCACCATGTATCTCCTTGCGCCGTGCTTCAGTGCTTGAGTGGATGGCTTGGGATGCAGCTTGAGATCGTCGTTAAGCAAGCTGTAGGCCTGAAGCACGATGGCCGACATTGTGTGGAGTTCCTACTGGACAACCATGCTCCCCAACGGACCCGCTGGGTGGACGATCTGTACGACACGCAGGGAATAACTGTACAGCCCAAGAACTTCCAGTCTAGCAGGTGCACAATTACGCTGAGGGCTGACAAGAGTGCTTACATGGACAGCTTTCTGCATCTGACCCTCTTCCACCAGAGGAGCATCCGGGACGACAAGCGGGCCGCCGAAGCTCATTTGCCATTCTCTGGTGTTGCAAATGGATTCAAGGGCTGGGTGGCGCTTGAGCACAAAGACAAGTATGGTGGCAAGTTATACGTTGAGGCATATCTCAAAGAAATCGCCGCACCGCCCCCTGCTCGCCCGAAAGCTGCCTCGATGCCTGCTCTGGACGACTCGGAGATCGCAGAGCAGCAGGCCATCTTAGCTACTGGGTATGGCTTTGGGATAATTTTAACTTTCCCTTCTTTCCCTTTTAAGTGAACCTATTCATAAATAATTCTCAAGGGGCTTTGAAGCAACACCCAGGCTAGCATCCAGGCCAGCCAGGCCACGCGGTCGCAAAGTGGCCGACTGCCTGAAGCTCCGAGCCACAAGAGCCACAGCCAAGCGAGCCCTGCCTCGGCTTCCCCTTCTTGGCCATGGCCGGACAACTCGCACCTTAGGGATTCTTGGGAATCTTTTGTTTTTTAAATAAGGTTTTGGGTCCTGCAATTCCTAAGAAACAGCTAAGATGATAATTTGGCTAGGGTTCCAGTATAGGCACAGTTCGCAGCCTTCGCAAATCACACCTGGATCTTCCTTTCCAGAGCACTCTTGGCCGGACTGGCCTAGCGCCGCGCAGGCAACACCGCAGCGCCCTGCTCAGTCTCCTGGTAGTCCTGGCATCTGGGCAAGCACATTACACTTTGTGTTTGGCTGTGTGTCTTTTTGGGCTTGCTTTTTGCGCTGCACAGAAACTTTGGCCTTGAGTCGTCCTTTGAAGCTGGTGGCCCTTTGAGGCCTAGCTCCTCCAGAGCCTGAGCCAGCACTGCCGGACTTGCCCGACTGGGTTCCTTGGCCTCGCTTCAAGGTAGCGGTGGACAGGGGGCAGCCGCTCGGCTCCCCGCCGGCGTGGCCAGCCCAAGCGGGCACGGCGAAATCGACGGGGCGGCGCAAGGCGCTGCTGATCGGGCTGAACTATCCCGGCACAGCGGCGCAGCTGCGACACGGCAAGAATGATGTCGAGCGGGTGGCAGCCGTGCTTGCAAGACTGGGTTTTCCGGAAGAGTGGACTCTGACACTGACAGACGATCCCGAAACGATGCCGGAAGCCCTGCCCACCAAGCGCAACTGCATCGTTGCAATGCAGTGGCTGGCTCACAATGTCGCGCCCGGCGATGTGTTGTTCTTCCATTTTAGTGGTCATTCCGCCCAAGAGGAGGATCATGAAGATGTTCCAGACAGTGATGCTCTTTGCCCGTCCGATTTCCAGGAAGCTGGTTTCATCTCCTCGGAAAAGGTTTACGAGACGTTGATGCAGAGACTGCCGCCACATGCCAGGCTGACAATGCTCTTAGATTGCTGCATTCCATGTCTATGTCCGGAGTTACCACTGCTCTATGACCTAGAGCAGGACCGATGGGTCTTAGGCAGCCCATCCTCGCGCTCAAACGGTGACGTGGTCTGTTTTGCAGGAGTAGGTTCCTTGGAAGCCCAGTGGTACTTTTTTGCCCCTTTATTTTGGTTCCAGGTTCCTAAAGAAACCAACCCCAAAAGCAACCAACCTTAAAAGGGTACCCTTATCATAGTATATCATATATCAAAATGTATCAAATGTATCATATGTATCATATGCATTATAATGTATCATAAGACATCATAAGATATCATCATATGTCATAAAGCGGTTACTGGGCCTGCCAAGGTTCAGACATGTCCATGGAGGAGCTGCACCAGCTCCGTATGGCAGAGCATGGCTTTGTCACAGGCGCATTCCTCCAAGCCATGACCCAGCTGGCCCAACAAAGAAAGGGCCCGGTAACGTACCAAGAGTTGGTCTCAGAAGCCAGCCAGCATCTCCGACCCCACGCCCACAGAGGTCTGCAGCTGTCTGTGACGCAGATGTTTGATCCCAACGTTCGGACCTTCCGATTCTTCGATGCGATCCAGAGCAAAGTACGCTAGTATGCCTTGGAGCACGTCGCAGGTGCCAATCCTATCAAAGTGCCGATCGCAGCCGTGCATCTTATCCGATGTAGACAGTCTCAACAACTTGCTGTGCACTGTTTAGGAGGAGCCAGGAGCTCATTCATTGAATTGATTGAACGGTAGAACCCATGCAGGGCTTCGTTCGCAAAGCGTTTCACCGCATGTGCCGCATTTGGAGCATTGTTGGAGTATCAATGTGGCCCGGGGAGGGGCTGGGGGCCGGTGCCAGCGTTGCTCACGTTGCGCAGATGTGCACAGAATCTGCTGAGCTCAATGTCCAGTAAATGCTAGGGTTTAGGGTTTAGGGTTTTGGGGTTTAGGGTTTTGGGGTTTAGGGTTTTGGGCTTAGGGTTTAGGGTACAGGTGTAAATCTTGCTGGCGGAGCCTGCAATCACACGTAGCGACATGTACCCATGGCGCACTGTGGGACGAGCTTGGCGTCAGGCACGGCTTATGGAGTTCCACAGCTCCATGGAGCTGACCATGATCATCAATGCCCTGCTCTTAGTATATGAATATAGTAGTCTATTAGTATATTGGTAGACTACATATATGTGTGTATATATATATATGCATATGTATATATGTATATGAGAACATCTTAAGAATACATATGTATGCAAATATGTCAATAGAGGAGTACAGTAATACATAGATGGCTGTAAGCATCAAGATTGATAGTAACATCTGAAATATTCGCTGTCAATCCCAAGCTTCTCCAGCACAAGGCGTGATTGCCCTTGTCATATTCGAGCAGCAAGGACTAGAAGCAGAAACTCATTGCTCAAACCTGGCTACTTGGAGGTACATGGGTTGCTATCAGTGGGGTTACAAGTTGGGTAAGTCTACTTATGACCTTACTTAGGGTGCTTATCACCCTACTTCCACCTACCCATGAACCTCCAGTCCCCAACACACACATTCGCTCCTTTGGGAAATCACATAAGAATACGCCCCTAAACCCTAAACCCTAAACCCTAAACTCTAATAGCAAAAGAGTTGCAGCAAGGCCGTCAGCAAGCTGCGAATCACTGACGAGGACATTTGACGATTAAAACTTGTTGGGGCGTCATGTCCACTGTCCAACCCCCCCCCCCAAACCCTATAAACCCTAAACCCTGTAAACCCTACAAACCCTGTAAACCTTGTAAGCCCTATGAACCCCACATAAAGCCTGCATAAACCCTATAAACCCGACAAACCCTAACCCCATGTTCTCGCACCGTCATCATGACAAGCTCATGCTTTAAGCTCATGCTTTCCGTTTCCTCGTGAGCATGCAGAATTGACAAATCATAATTCCCGCCGCCTTCGGTATTCACGCCCCCTCGTCTGAACCCTAAGCCCTAAGCCCAAAACCCTAAACCCTACACCGTACACCGTATACCCTAAAACCATAAACACGAAGCCAAGACTCCGAGCAGAAGCTGGAGTAGAATGGGCCTTCCATGACCCGATAATTGAAGCGTCTAGCAATGCTATCCTGAACCTCCAAACGCTCCCTTCAACTTTAGTGGATGAGGACCTGTTCAGACGATTTGCTTGCCTGGCATGTCTTTCGGGGCCATGAGCTTGAGAGACACGTGTGCTTGTGACTGTAGCTTGGGTTGAGGGTTTAGGGTTTAGGCTTAAGGGTTTGGGTTTAGGCTTTAGGGTTTTGGGTTTAGGGTGTTGGGTTTAGGGTTAGGGTTTAGGCTTTAGGGTTTTGGGTTTAGCGTGTTGGGTTTAGGCTTTAGGGTTTAGGCTTTGGGCTTTGGACTTTGGGCTTTGGGCTTTAGGGTTTAGGGTTTAGGGTTTAGGGTTTAGGGACAGTTTGGCAGCCAGGTGAGCCACACGCAGAGCCGTCCGCGTCCAAGCTTTGCCTCAGAAGCGCGGCGTTGGCAAAGAAAAGCAAAAGGGTCCATGTACTAATGTTCATGTCAATCTTAAGGTTCATATTAAGATTAAAGTTCATACCCAGAGCAATATTATTAAAATGAATATTAATCTTACGACCAACGGTAAGATATTCAGAGCGATCGTCTGGCCAGAGGGACGAGCGCGTCTGAGGGTTCTGTGTTCCTGATGTGTCCTCGTGCCCGAGCTGATGCGGCGATCATGGAATAAACGGGTCCTCGCTTCATGCAAGCGTGAGGGAGAAAAGCTAATCCTAGGTAGGATATGTGGGACCCTTAAACGGGAACCCTTCTTAGCCCTCTTCTAGCTCTCTTAAACAGGGACCTTATTCAGAGGGTCTCTAACCCCGAAGGGTCCCCCTAATCCTATCCCCTAGCTAAGGAATGGGAACCGAAGCCTTCCATGTGCGGGACATCTCCGCAGGAACCTTGGAAGTTTCAGTGTGTGCAGCACGAGCATTGAGGTAATTGTTGCTGGAATGGAAAGTCTGCAGCGCAAAGTGCTTGAGGTGACGCGGAACCGGGTGGGTTTTAGGGTTTAGGGTTTGGGGCTTAGCTGAGGTGATTGTTGGGGCGCTCGCTCGCGTCAACTGTGCCATTCTCAGAGTGGCAAAACCATGCAAAGCCATGACGCCAAGAGGCTTCGTGCCCCTTGGAAACCTGATCAACTTGAGACATTCTGCCCGCACCCAAGTCCTCAAAATGTTCTAGAAGCCCTACAAGACCTACGCCCTAAACCTTCAATCCCAACAATAGAAAATGTCTAGCCTAAACTCCAAGGTGTTGATGCGCAGACCATGAGCCGGTTTGCGGACGGCTGCGTGCAAACGCTTCCCCAGGCCAGGCTTGCGGATGTAAATGAGGTATGCTTTTTGATTCCTGTGGAGCTTCAGATGTTCGGGGTTTAGGGTTTAGGGTTTGGGGTCTAGGGCAATGGTTTAGGGATGGTTTAGGGTTTAGGGTTGTGGCAAGTATCTTCCAGTATCGGAAATCGTCTCCACTGTCCAGGCGACCCCTTTGGAGCTGGCCCGGCTCATGCATGCCTGCATGTCCTGAGCCTACGAGTCTAGGGTTTAGGGCATAGTGTTTAGAATTTGAGGGTTTAGGGTTCAGGGATTAGCGCCCAAGCCTACGACGATGCCCTTTTCAGCGCTGTTTTTTTTCACGATTTGCTGGCAGTCTCCCATCCAAGCATGTTGAGACACAAGTTGACACCGTGACTGCCGACCCTAAACCCTGAGCCCTAAGCCTTAAGTCCTAAGCCCTAAACCCTAAACCCGAATTCCAGTTGAGCAGCTGCCAGTGGGCCGTGGGCTACGGTAATTCCTGTATCAGCCGAGGAGCGTGTCCTGCCATGCACCGGATCTCTTCACTGCGTGTGTCCTGCAGAGCCGCGAGCAGGCGTTTCCGTTTAGAAATTGCCACCTGCGACCCCAAATAGTAGGACTCCCTTCAGGACCCCAACAAGGTACCCCTAACTTCGGAAACCCCCACATCTCACCTTTGAATCAGCACCGAGACGCGTTGGCCGTCTCAAACGCTTGCCCGAAACTCGCCCCGACCGGCACCGAATAGGATGCAGCATGTAAGCAATCTACTAGTATCTACTGCTCACCAAGCAACATTCACAAAGCCACCTCCGAACCTTGCTGGAAGCAGGCAGCGAGCATGGATCCTACTGGCCTCTCTGCGGCTGCCTACGCCTTTGGCCAGTGCTTTGAGGCCGGCGTGGCAAGTGACGATTGAATGTTTGTACAGCCTTGCAGCCTTGAGACCCCGAGTAGAAAAGGCGAGGCCAGCCCTCCTCTGCGCAGTGTGCGAAGTCTGTGAAAGGTTGCCGATGTGTCGCACATCCGCTACCTGCAGAAAATCTTCAGACACATCCGACTGGTGCGCCTCCTTCTGCGTCGATGGTCAGAGCAATGCATTGTAAGAGCCCCCCCGTCTTTCCCAGAGGTTTCGAGGAACAATGCAAGGGCTTACACACGGCAGCGGGCAATGGGACTTTAGGGCGCCAAATGACCAAGCGATACCAAGCGTCAAGGATGCTCACCAAGCTGCTTTTTCTTCCTCGATGTCAGAACCTCTGCCACCTGTTTGCGAGTCGGACTCCTCTTCTTGGGCCAGGCTGCCGTTTCCAGCTTGCCACTTTTCCTGCCCCGCGAGATCGCCGGGACCTCGGAAATCGAACTAAAACCCCCTAAACTAACCAACGGCCTGAGGAGGAGAAAAGGGGACAGAAAGAGAGAGAGAGAGAGCGCGACTGTGGACGCAACGCGCCTTGTGCGCAGGGAAGAAGAAGAAGAAGAAGAAGAAGAAGAAGAAGAAGAAGAGAGTTCCCTCGTCTGGTTGGGAGCCCTCAAGTGTGCGGAAGAGAAGAGACCAGACGAGACGAGCGGAGGAGAGGAGAGGAGAGGAGAGAAGGAATGAAGGAAGGAGGGAGGGAGGGATCGAAGGACTCAAGAGAGAGAGAGAGAGAGAGAGAGAGAGAGACAGAGAGACAGCGAGCTCACATGGGCCCCTAAGCCCGCTGCACAATGAGGGTTTCCGAACTTGGGGGGGGTAGCTTCTTGGGGTCCTTATTCTCAGGGAGCCCTACTATTTGGGTCGATGTATTCGGGGTCCCTTATGTTCGTAAAGCCCCGTTGGAAGAAGTGCGCACACGCCGTGGCCGAGGTGAGTCTGCTCAAAACCTACGCTCGGTGGCAGATCACCTTTGAATGCGTCCACTTGCGCAAGGTGCTGCAGCTATCCATCGCAGACATGCTTGCTTTGGTTGTAAATCTGAATCCAGACTGCATCCCGCACTCAAAACGCCGGACGACAATACAATGCCCACTCTGCATCGTTTGTGGATTCACAAAGTTGAGCCTGGGTATAAGGAGCTAAGCCCTCAACCCTAAACCCATAGCTGCCTTAACCCTGCAACCCGAAAGCCCCAAACTCAACCCATCGTTGTTGCAGGTTGCTGAGCGGATGATCGCGACCAGCGGCCAGTTCGACCTGGACAGCGCTGCCAGACTCTCACGCTTGCAATATGAGTCCTATAAGTGGATCAACTTGGGTTCCACCCTAAAACCCTAAACCCCGAACCCTAAACCCTAAACCCTGATAGCCACCTTCGGCCCGGAGTAATTTCATCCGTGGATGGCAACTCGCCTCACGTGCTTAGATCCCGGAGTCTGAATGATGCCGGGACCAGAATTTGGCAGTCTCATGTCACTTGCTTCAGGCGCGATATTATCAGCAGCGTCACGTCCAACGTGCATGTTGGTCTGAAGTGCTCTTGAAGACTTTTGGTGGGAAAGCAAGGTCACAGGTTTGCACAACCTGGCGCTGCTGTTCTGCCCGGCCTGCTTGCCATATGAATGTAGTTGAACTCTCTTGTTAGATCGAAGATGCACCCCCCATAAGGGCAATGCTTCTCCAAGCTTTGCGACAGACCAGACTTGATGTGTGCACAAGTTTTGAGCATGATAGAACTTGCTGTGACAGATATCTAGGAAAAGTTCGGAGTTTCCACTGCTGCATTACTGGTAGCCACTCGTCAGTAGGTGGGGGTTTACGAAATTTGGGGTACCTTATTGGGGTCCGACTGATAAAGGAATCCTACTATTTGGGGTCCATATCAGGGGCCCCTATTTTCGGAAACCCACCCCAGGAAGATCTGCCCAAGAAGTGCAGGGCAAATGTTGGGATAGCGGGAAGGACGTGCTTCACTTGAGACATGTCGTGAACATCCAAGAAGGTTTTGTGCAGAGAGGGTTTAGGGTTTAGGGTTTAGGGTTTTCGGGTACATAACATCCTTCGGGTTGGGTTACTTTGGACCCGTAGGATCAAGGGATGAAGACTCATACCCCTAAGGTTGGACCCCTAAAGGTTCCACCTAGTATGCTCCTAATGAGGCCCTTATATTCCCTTAGGGATCCTTAAAAGGGAACCCCAAAACCCAAGGGTACAACCTAAAGGGTCCAAGGTAGACCCCCGAGAATGGAGCTGCTCCACGTGTCACGCTCCGTGTTGGAGGTTACACGTTGTAGGGCCGGAAGTGCTCTGGGTTTTGGGTTAAACCCTAAACCCTAAACCCTCCTTTGAGCCAGGATGCAGCGCAATACCATGCGCTCAGAGCGCACGGCCGCGCTTGGCGCGGCTCGGGAGGCCTTTTCATCCGTCTGTGGTGTCGAGTGTTTGGGGTTTTTCGTGTTAGGAGGTCAGAGTCTAGGAACCCTAAACCCTGAACCCTAAACCCTAACCCTAAACCCTAAACCCAGGGTTCGGGTTTAAGGTAGAAGCCTCCGAGAGCCCTCAGCATCAGTGGGCTCCTCAAATCCCCTCGACTTTCCCTTTTTTATGAGCGCAGCAGGTGCTTGCAGAAGCTGCGAGGAATCTGCTGCTGCCGGCCCACGGCCCAGCTGCTCTCTCACTTCTCAAGCACATGCAGCATACGTTGGCTTGCACCGAGTGACATCACTTTCTAAGCAACGGTTTCGCCAAAATATGACCCGCCCTTCCCCAGTACACTCCTAGCACCCTGGCATCCGGTGTAGCTGAAGAGGGCAAAGGCCCTGCTGCTCTGGGAGCCCTCGAAGTGCTCAACTCCTTCTCAAGCTTGGAAGCAGACCGCGGAGAGATGGTACCAGTATGCCAACGTATGCCCACACCATCCGGACCCGCGCTCAAGCGCTGCAGGAGGTCACGGAGCCCTTACGCACAGAGACCCCAGGTGTTGCAGACCCACATTCTGAGCTGCCCCCTCTGTAGAGGCCTTGCTCTAAACGAGCCATGGGGCGGAGCCCCAGGAGGCCAGGACAGGCTCTTCTGTGCACCGCCGCCGCGTTCGGCGGCCTCGTTTTGCACCTGGGCGATGTGTTGATTCGCACCTATCAGGGGGCCTTCTTTCACGTGCCTCGCAGCCTAAGTGCGCACATCTCTTGCTTAGGTACAAGGGCGCTAGGATGCGCACGATGTAGAACCTTTTTGGGGCACGATGACCGGGCACATCCTCAACCACTATTTGCTTAAGAACCCCCCCCCCCCCCCAAATGGCAACGTTTTCCTTATAAGGCCAATAAATATAAACGGATTATGTTCTGTTAGTTTCTCTGGGGTTCTTAAGCACAAAGTAGTCAACCCCAGGCTGTCTCGCAGCTGGACATTTGTGCGCCTCACAGCGCGCCCGCTGGTCCAGCCGACTGATGCCGGCGCAATCCTTCGGCGCTGGCCGCAGAGGTGGACGGACTCTAGCAGATTTGGGGGGCGGGGGGGGGTTCCCAAACTTAGGGTAGTCTTGTTTTGGGAGTTCCTTCAATGAGGATTGTATCGTTTTCTGGGGTATATAAGGGGTACCACCTACTTTGGGAAGGCCCATTTTGGTTCCCGAAGCTCCACACAGCCTCCCACACAGCCTCTAATCAGTCGCGTGGGGTCGCGTGCTGAACTGCGAAGAAGCAGCAAGAGCGTCTCCTTGGTTTCGCCCCCTTTGGCAGCTGACATCACAAATCTTATCAAGCTCAGTAACTGAAACTAACTACTAATTTCGAACTGCCTTCAGGTGGACTGGCCGAAGGGTTGCCCTGCATGCAGCCACCCAGGCTCGGTGACATTGCAAGCAAGTGCCAGCAAAGCGAGCAGCAACGTGTCGACAGAGAAACGCCAGTGGCACGGTCAATCCTGAGCTTCTTGACAGGCTTCGGAGGAGCTGACAGGGCTGCAGGACTGCCAAAAGATTGGGAACTGTGCAGGAGACATAGTGAAACATGGACCGCTAAGCTCAGCAAACTTGGCGCCCCTGTCATCGTCTGTCAGAGGAGTGGATGGAAGAGGGCGGGGCTCTATCGTCTGGGCTCCGCTTGGCTGACCTGCCAGGCAGAATGGTTGCAGCACAGTGGAACGTTTTTTTAGTCCACGAGACATCATGAGACACAGATATGAAAGTGCATGTTACTTCACCCTAAACCCCAAACCCCAAACCCTAAACCCTAAACCCTGCATCTGCAAACAAGGCTTCAAGTTCAGCCTCATCGCTGGTGAGAGTGGGGTGAAGGCTGGCGACGTGCTGTTGCGCGTGCCGGCATCTATGCACATCTCGCCGTCTTCCGTGCGCGCCGAGGCATCAACTAGCAGATCCCGACAATCTGTTCTTGTCCCAAGGGTCATGTTACTACATGGGTTAAACCCTAAACCCTACACCTTATAGCCCTAAACCCTAGACCCCAAACCCTACTGTAAACCTCAAACCCTAAACCCTGGTTCCAATCAGATTGCGCCCTTGTGATGTGACGCTACTGGGTGGTGATTCCGGAAGCACAAGCGCAGACTCGCCGATGCGTCTCCAAGTTCTGAGGCTCTTCGCCCCTAAACCCTAAACCCTTAACCCTAAATCCTAAACCCTAAACCCTAAACCCTAAACCCTAAACCCCTAGCCAAGGCTCCTCAGCACTAGGGAAGCTGTTGGAGCCACTTCAGCTGGACGACAGCGCAGCTCGGCAGCCATTTAGTAGTTAGCAAAGGGGAAGGTTCGCCAGGTTCCTAGGGTGTAGGGTTTAGGGTTTAGGGCTTAGGGTTCAGGGTTTAGGGTTTAGGGTTTAGGGTTTAGGGCCCTGAAAAGGGAGCCCTTCTTAACCCTCTTCTGGCTCTCCTAATCAGGGACCTTATTCAGAGGGTCGATATCCACAAAGGGTCCCCCTAATCCTATCCCCTATATGTGGGCATGTCCCACAATGCGGGTAACCCCGGTTCTATCCCAAATGTAATCGAACCCCCTTTGATGGACTCACTCCCTCAAAAGAGAATCCCATGTCCGGAAACCTCCATCGACCATTTTGCTTACGAACCCTAAAACTATTAAAATGTTTTAATCCCTAATCTGCCCTTACAAGGAAGATATTTTTAAGTTTAATCCCTAATTTGCCCTTATAAGGAAGATAGCATTTTTGGGGGGGTTCTTAAGCGAATCGTAGCCATGCTTGTTTTGTATCTCTTGGGTCTGAGCCGCGAGTGCCAAGGCGACGTTGGCTCTTGGCCTTCTCGCCGAGGCTCAGACGCTTCTGCAAATTTGAGTGCGAGGTCGTGCGACAGCTATAGGTTCCTTAGGAATTATGTTTCATGTCCGTGTATACATATATATAGCCCAAGGGTAGATTATAGTCCTAAGCAGAGTACAGCTAATACCACATAGTGTGACATGACGTGACAGCAAGCAGCAGAGTTTGAGGTGAGCAAGAAGGAGTCCAGCAAGTTTTGGCCGTACCTCAGGCAGGAACAAGCGTGATTGCACTTGCACGAATACAGCGCATGATGCTTGTTCGTTCAAAGTTCGGACAGGATCTTGCCTGGCGCGAGCGATCTTCACATTCCGCTGCTGTGGCCAGAGGAAGACAGAAGGCCGCTGTACATTTCAAGTTGAGGTGTCTTCCCATCACAAAGACACAACATCCACCGCAGTGCATCAAGAACGGCCAAGACTCAAGACATGCTGCTCACGATCATGACACACGCGTGATACCTGTAACCCTAAACCCCAAACACTAAACCCTAAACCTTAGACCCTAAACCCTGAACCCTAAACCCTAAACCCTAAAACCCTAAGCCCTCCTGCCATTGCAGTTGCATGCGGTCCTTGCAGGCGTCTCCTCGCTGGCAGCCCGCTGGACCTGGCGGCGGAGCAGCAACGACTAGGGCTCCTTGAGTGCCCTGGTCTGACATTAGGGTTCACGAAAATAGGGGACCCTAAAACAGACCCCCCCTGAATAGTAGGATTCCCTTATAATGAGGAGGCCGATAAGGTACCCTGGTTTCGGAAACCACCAATGTCAGGGTCAATAAGGTGGCTGTTGGGGGGTGTCAGGGACACACCGGTCTGCTTCAGATGCGTGAAGGGTGTCTGAAGATTGTCACTGCTGTCACAACAGCAGTGCATGGCAATTCAACATGAGGCAGTGGAGCGGCATCCAAGAAATGGCCAAAGACGTGCCCGACCTCTCCGCCGAGTTAACGGAGGAAGAAGCGATCAAGGGAGAAAGTTGAGTGGTTGAGGGCACCATTGCACTGGCCGGCAGGGCGGTTACGCATAGATAACGCATTGTCAGTTGTGCCAGCAGAACCCCACAATGACCCAACCAAGCACGCGCATTTCCTTGCGCAGCTGTCATGTTGAGGAGGACTGGCTTTGGGCACATGCCATCGTGCTGACACGTGCCCTGCCCTTCGGCAACGAGCTGTCCCTGATACCTGGACTGGACTTGGCCAACCACGAACTCGGGTCCAACAACACCTGCTCCATTGGCGTGCAGCTTCGACAGCACATGGGGGGGGGGGGGGGGTACGAAAACAAGCAACCCCTAATATAGATCCCCATATGGTAGGAGTCCTTGTTTACAAGGACCCCCAATAAGGTACCCCCCTAATTTCTAAACCCCCTCCCCCCACATGAGCCGACGATGGAGGTGGCTGCCCTAGGCCCTTGTCCCTCTACTTCATGCAACTTGGATCAGTTCCCGTAATATCCCCAAATAGCGAGACTCTCTTTACAGCCCCGAGCAACCATTGCAGCGGAGCAATCGGATGCGACCAAGGTCCATAAGAACGCAGCTCACACTGTGCCGATTTCACAAAAAGAGGATCCTAAAAAGTAAGCACGAATCAGCGATTCAGTTCATTCATGGGCTCGCCAGGGAAGGACTGGGGCGCCATGAAATAGCGATTGTCACTGCCGCACATAGCGGGAAAAACGCAAAACCTTCCTGGGCGGGTGCGGAGCCAAAAGCACGGTGAGAAACGGGCAAAAAGCGGACTGTCCCATACCTGCCCGGGACACTGCATGACCGGGCCCCAGTGAGCGCAGAATTAAAACGGCGCCCCGAGCGGGTGCGCGCAAGAGAAGAACAACGCCCCCCGCCCTCCACAGGGCGGGGGGCTCGCTTTGTTCCGCACCCGCATGTCCCAGAGATTTTGGTTCTGCGCCCGCTCAGGGCCCGGTCACATGCTCACTCTTGCCTTTCTTACGCAGGCCGTCGGACCGGGGGAAAGGGCGCATTGTTGACTTGTCCCGCGATGTGCGATGTTCCACGCCCGGGCGCTTCTTCCACGCGAACCGGGGTCCGGTCAGTCAGTTTACCGCTTGCTGCGAAAGCGACCTGGTCCAAATTGGTCCAAAAGACCCTAAGTGTCAAGTGAAAGCGAAAAAGCCAGTAGACCTTTCGGGGGAGGAACTTACACCAGGTCAATGCCCGCACGCGCCGCTGCACCAGCAGTGACCCCTCTGACAAAAGTAGCCAGCCATCAGGGCCATCATCATCGCTACTCAAAACGCAGCCACGAGAGGCACCAGAACCACGGATGGCAGCGCACAGACCAGCTTGCCCCTCCATTTAAGGGGAACTCACTTCAAGCATAAGGTTTCGAAGATAGTCGGCAGATGTAGCAAGGCTGATTCGATCCTTGCAAGCAACTGAGGGCTGCGCCGGACGGTGAAGTGATGGAGGCCACGGAAGAGGCTCAGCTGCAGGCGCCACGGGCCGTGCGGACGATGGTTCAACCGGTCGTTCGAGCCTTGTAGATTGGGATGTTCCCCTTTTATACTAACAGCTCCGTAATAGGGATTATGGACTGTTAGTATTGTGGGGAACATCCCAACTTGATTCTGAGGACCTAAACCCCAAACCCCAAACGAGATCCAGAACTGTTGCTTCCGACCAGGGCAAAGAGGCAGAGGCCGTGCTGACCGCAGGCCGTGCTTGGGGCATGCTGAGCTCACTTAGGGTTTATAGGGTTTATAGGGTTTATAGGGTTTATAGGGTTTATAGGGTTTATAGGGTTTATAGGGTTTATAGGGTTTATAGGGTTTATAGGGTTTATAGGGTTTATAGGGTTTATAGGGTTTATAGGGTTTATAGGGTTTATAGGGTTTATAGGGTTTATAGGGTTTATAGGGTTTATAGGGTTTATAGGGTTTATAGGGTTTATAGGGTTTATAGGGTTTATGGGTTCATAGGGTTCCTAGGGTTTATAGGGTTCATAGGGTTTATAGGGTTTAGAGGGTTTATAGGGGTTATAGGGTTTATAGGGTTTATAGGGTTTATAGGGTTTAATTATAGGGTTTATAGGGTTTGGGGTTTAGGGTTTAGGGGTTAGGGTTTACTGTAGGGTCCATTCGGTATACAGCTTAGGGTTCCCGGACAGTCTGGGGTAGCAGGTAGGGAGATCAGAGGGCGTAGGTTCAACAACCAAAACATGGAGTTCTTAGGGCAACGATGCGAAAAAGGGGACACCTCAGCTGTGTGGAATGCAGGAATGTCGACGTTCACCTTGCCTCCCTTTTTTCGTCTTTGTCATCTGCCTCCTCTTTCGGCCTCATATTGAAAACTCCACCCCAAGAAAACCTCCAGGATCACTTGCACCAGCGCACTTGAGCATTTCCCAAACATCCCCAAAGTCAGCCTCCGACACCGCGCTCTCCGGGGTGGTTCCCTGCTCACCAAAAAGCCCACAGCTCCTGCCTACGCCATCCTAGGCCCAATCCTTTGCTTAGCAAAAGCCTAAACCCTAAACCCTCATGCGCTTTGCTTCGGACAGTGAAGAAACTCGGGAAACAAGTTCAGTAAACAGTGGCAGGTGGTTTGTAGGGTCGCTCTCGAATTGCTTCGCCCCCTTGCGTAGAAGCAATGTAACCCGTTTTCCGTACCCCTAAACCCCAATCCCCAAACCTCAAACCCTAAACCCTCCCCTACATGCAGGCCGTGACCACGATGCCGGCGAGCAAGTCTTCATCGACTACGACGGTGGCGTCGGACTCCGCCTGGCATGGGAGATGGTGCACACTTACGGCCCCTCAGCATGTTAGGGTTTAGGGTTTAGGGTTTAGGGTTGTGTTATCCATCCGGTGGCAAGATTGTTGGTTGGACCATTTGCAAAGCCACGTGCAGAGCCTTGGCGGCACTGGAATGGAGTTAGTTGCCACCGAGGCTTTGTTCCGAACAACATGCCTGCGTACGCCGGCAGGCATCATGTCTTTGTCTTCGCAGGAGAGTGGTGTGAAGGAGCCAGAGCAAACAGACATGGATTATGCATTTTGAGGAGCATAATCTCTCAACGTAGTTCGAAGTTCGCCCATGTATCAAGCAAAACTTTTCCTTTGCTGCCTTGCAGCTGCAACTTCGCTCAGTTGCCAGACCATGCAAGCACTGTTCAGCGATGGCAGGCCAGTGTTCTTCGAGGGGGTCCAGGCAAGCGACTGTGTAGGGTTTAGAGTGTCATTAGGACGTAGGGGCTCCAATTAATCCCAAACCCTGCAAACTTCCAAATATCCCTGAAACCTGTTTTTTGTTGCACTTTGCCCGCGTTCGCTTACCAGTAGCCTTCCCTTCGCTTTCCCTGATTCTCATACTAGTTCTGTGGAATTGCGTGCCTTAAGTCCTCCATCTTGCCCCCGAGTTCCCTACTAAACCGTAAACCCTAAACCCTAAACCCCAAACCCTTCTGGGGAGGCAGAGGATCCAATGGCACGCCAGAAGCAGGCCTTGTTTGAGGCGCTGGGCGCGGACCCCGAGGCCTCAAAAGGGGTTTAGAACTACGACTTGGTCAACAACAAAACCAAAATAAGAATATTCTTCCTGATGAAGGCAATATGGGGAATGTTGTCTTTTGCTTTTGGAGGTTCTTATGCAAGTGGTAGAGAAGTGTGTAAGGTCTGCAGGGTCTTGTGGGCTTTCAGGCTAAAAGGGCTTGTGCAACTCTATGCCGTGGGCTTGCGACGAAGGCCTGCAACTTCTGTCCGGCCACTACCCTGCTGTTCGTTGCGCTGACCGCATAAGATCTAACCTGATCGAGCTGCAGTAGTCAGCTATATCCCCCTCGGGAATTATTCTTTCTTTTTCTTTATATAAAACCAAGAGGGTACTAAACACATTGTTTTTACTCAGGTTCGAAGGGGAGTATAGTCAGTAGTCGTGAGGGTGGAAGATGGGACATGGCCTGCGAGGTCTTGCAGGGATTCTGGCATGAGGTGAGACCCATTCGAGCCCAGTGCCTGGTCCGAAGTTCAAGTTCTTGGCGATGGAAAACCCTAAACCCTAAACCCTAAACCCTAAACCCTAAACCCTAAACCCTAAACCCTAAATGCAGATAGGTAGAACTCGATACCCGCGTGTGTGCTAGGGTCTGCTGAGTGGCCGTCTTGCTCCTTCCAGGGCTCCGGCCAAGAGGTTTCGGCTTTCAAAAAGAATAAGATTAATTACTAACATCAATATATATATATATATATCTATATATATATATACATAATACAGATATATATATATATATGTATATATATATATATATTGTATAGATGCACAGTATACTAAAAACATATATATATATATATGTATATATTCTATCAATAATATGCACACTGATACTTGCTACCAGTATTTGATGTCAAGGTGCAGGGCCATGGCTCCAAAGCTTCGCCTTGCCCATCTCAAAGAGGAGGCCCCCCCCCCCCCCCCCCGTGTGCACAGAGGGGGGGTTTAGGGTTTAGGGTTTAGGGTTTCGGGTTTAGGGTTTAGGGTTTGGGGTTTAGGGTTTAGGGTTTAGGGCACAGAGGGGGGCTCAAGAGAAGGCATCATCGATCTTAGGGGACTTAAAGGAGGGACGCTTATAAGGGACTTTGGGGGTTGTGGTGGGGTTTGATTTTAGGGAGAGAGGTATGTATATATAGGGGTTATCATTGAGGGGGGGGAGGAGAATACAGAGTTAGCGCCTGCAACACGTTGAGGTCCCCCTCAACGTGCCGAACATGCGAAAGCTTCTTCCATGCCAAACCCGCTCAACGTGCCGAACATGCGAAAACTTCTTCCATGCTAAACCCGAATCCTTACTTGGAGGTTCATGGGTAGTTCTAAGTGGGGGTTATAAGTAGGGTTACTATGCTTATAAGCTTATTTAGGGTACTTACCACCCTACTTAAAACTACCCATATGAACCTCCAAGTAAACCATCCTAAACCCTGAACCCTAAACCCTAAACCCTCAACCCTAAACCCTAAACCCTAAACCCTAAACCCTAAACCCTAAACCCCCTCAATGCATTGGCATGTCTTCGCCACATGGCTCCGCAGGACGGGCCGCTCGCTGCCGACCTCGCTTCCTGGAAGGCTGAGCCCAAGGCACCAGCAGAATATTCAGACTAATAATAATGATGATAATAGAAATAATAGTAGGATAAGAAGAAAAAAAATAAGAAAGGTAGTGAGAATAGTGGTAATAATCGGAGAAACAAGAGAAGTAATGATAGTAGTAAGAATAGAAATAGCAATAATAATGATATTGATATCTCTTTCTAGTATTAGTATTGTTGCCTTAGCATGTTATGGAAAGTGTTATTAGTATATCGTATCTTCGTAGAGTATTGAATCATTGCCTCAGCATAATTATACTGGAATGTGATTAGTATCTTATATCTTTTAAAGGACTGCATCATGGCCTTAGCAAACTATACCTTAGTGTCTTAGTATACTATTCAAGAGATCAGCAGCTGGGGCTGTGGGCTGTGTTGGCTTCGGAATGCGTTGAGCACTGGCCTCGAATATCGAGGGACTTGACCCTTCGGCTGAACTTCGGCTGAAAGATACGCTGCTCTAAACCCTAAACCCTAAACCCTAAACCCTAAACCCTAAACCCTAAACCCTAAACCCTAAACCTGTGCGGATGCGGCCACCTCTGCAAGGCCACGCTCCAGGCACTGCAGGCGCCGATCAGCGAGGCTCTGAGTAGTAGTTGGAGGAGGAGTAGCAGTAGCTTAGGGTTCAGGGTTTAGGGTTTAGGGTTTGGGGTTTAGGGTTTCGGATTTGGGGTATCTTTTGATAGTATTCGTACTAACCAGAAGTAAACACTAGGATGTCATTGTTGCGCTCCCTCTCCACCTCCCTCTCCCTCGCACTCCCACTCCCAACCAAAGACTGTTCCTAAACCCTGAACCTTAAAACTTGAAGCCTGGACGTTTCAGGAACATCAGGCCCAGCATCAATGCACCTCTGGATCTGTCACCGGTTTCTGTTCGAGTATGTCCAGCGTTAGTTCGCGGTGGGGCAACTTACTCTCGAAGAAAGGTTGTCACTTGCGATTGTCGATTCATCATGAAACGGCTGAGATGTGACGGTCCAGATTTTTTGGGGGGGAAACACAGACATAGACACAGGCAAAGACACAGACACATAGACACACGGACACACGGACACACGGGGACACAGGGACACAGAGACACACACACACACACACACACACACACACACGCACAGAGACAGAGAGAGAGAGAGAGAGAGATCAGGAAGAGAGAGAGAGAGCGAGAGAGAGAGAGAGAGAGAGAGACCGGGGCAGCTCTCCCTTCGGGGGGGGCTAAGCGTGTGGAGAGAGAGAGAGAGAGAGCAAGAAAGAGAGAGAGAGAGAGAGACGCACACTCACACAGACACACAAACAAACAGACACACACACAAAAACACACACACACACACAAAATTAAAAACACACGCACACACACAAAAGCAAACACACACTCACACATTTACATAAATAAATAAATGAATCAAATATACATATAAATGTAATATATATATATATATACATATACATATGCATATATTGCTTGCATATATATATATATATATATATATATCAGTTGGTTTCACCTTGATGTGGACGACTGTGGCCCGTCAGAAATCGTATGTTGAGCAGTCTTGATAAGAACCCCAAACCCTGAACCCTAAACAATATAATGGAAGGTACTGGTACGCAGTTCCTTTTGTGCTGATGCAGGAGAATGAAAAGAAAGTTGCTGAGCAGGCCCACCGCTGGTACAGTGCCGGGCGCTGTAAGCTACTAGTATCATGATTTGCACGTGAACGGTTTGCTCTGGAGCTGACTCAGTGGTCAGATGATTAAGCCCAGTTTTTGCAGGAAGTCCCGAATTATGGTGATTACATCCGGTCCCGCGCCAGGTTGTGAGCGCGTGCTCCGATGCACTCTCGGGGCTTCCCGCGGAAGAAGAGCTCAAAGACAAAGCTCTCGTGCGGGAAACGGAGAACGAGGCAGTTGAGAGGGAGGGGAGGGGTGAGGGCGGGGGGGCTCAGTTGGATGTGGTCAGTTGCAAAGAGGTTCCGTCAGATGCCACGAAGTACCCCTAACAGACAAGAAGGGCTGAAGCAAGCAATGAGGGCGAGGGAAGAGCAGCACCAATGCAAAAGGACAATCACTTGAAAAGACAGACGCGCGCACGCAAGGGACAAGCGCCGTTGCGTCTGCGTTGTCTCCACAAACAGCGTGTCAATACTGGGCACAAAAGGCAGTCGGCGCAGCCCAGGCCATGTCATAAGGGCACATAAGGGCACCTCCTGGTTCGACCACGTCTTGGCCCCTACCTGCACGGTTATTTCCAACCAAATTGACGTACCCTTACCATCGAAAAGCACTATGATCCTGACGGCTCAAAACTCCAAAGGGTTACCTCCATATTGGGAATCTCCTGGCTCGCAAGTTGGAAATGAAGGCCGCTCTTTGCTCGTGGCTCTAGTGCACGTTGTCTGGCTTTCGATACCAACGGGCACGAACCACTGGGCGGTTTCCCTAAACCTTAAACATTGCTGAGTTGACAGCTCCAAAATCATGGTGTCCTGTTTTTAGAACCGAGCACACCAGTCCCTATCATTGGCACAAAGTTGTCGTGCAGGAGCCTTTGGAGGTTCGCACTCGCCTGGCGGCAGCTTGGCAAGACGTGGTGCACTGCGGTGCGCAGGGGCGGGAACCTAGATCCTCCACGTTGGCCTCATGTAGCTAGAAAGAGACACAGCCACAGCCACATCGCTGAAAGCTGCCAGCGACTGCCAGGGAGTTCAGAGTTGGGATAAGACGGACATGAACATGCTAATGGGCCAAAGAGCCATCATGAGCGGATGTGAACCACGTGATCCTGTAACCGAGCCTGAAGTTCCCTTCACTGATTCACAGCCTCGGCTCTTAGGACTGCACAACGCAAGATTTTGGGGGAAGAATGGGAATAATCGCATGAGGTTCTCTAGCTGCCTTTAACATCCTTTGTAGCACTCTAAACCTCTTTTAGCTGCATGGTAGACTTAGGCCCGCGTGCTCTTGGGCGAGCGGCTCGCCCTGGAGACCTGCATCCGCGAATGGACTGAAATCACAGGCTGACGTTGCTCGACACCGGCTTGCCAACACGCCTGCGCAAAAAGGAGAAAGACAAAGCATGTGGGGGCTCACGATATTAGGGCTACCCCCTTGGGGTGCTGATTAGAAGGGGATCCTACTTGAGGATCCCCTACTAAGTGGGGGGTCTATATGTGGGAGCGTGTATTATCGCTAAACGCTAAACCCTATGTTGGTGCTTACGGTCGAAGTGATGATGTTGGCTGACAGTGGAGCCTGGCAGTTGCAGTAGAAGTGCCAGAGCATCAGCATTGATGCGTGGAGTTCACGATACTGAGAGATCTACGACCCCTAAACCCTAAACCCTACTGTAAACCCTAAACCCTAAACTTACTGAACCCTAAACCCTAATCCTAAACCCACGATGATTGGCAAAGATGGGCTCTTTGGCAGCTGAGGTGTGGTCTGCAGCCCGAGCCAACGAGCTCGACCTGGCAACTTTGTTGAAAGCCGCAGAGGCCGCCGTCGCCACTTTGAGGCAGTTAGGGTTTAGGGTTTAGGGTTTAGGGTTTAGGGTTTAGGGTTTAGGGTTTAGGATGTAGGATGTAGGATGTAGGATGTAGGATGTAGGATGTAGGGTTTGGGTGATGTAGAAGTGGGACGTGGTGGCACCCTCAACCTGCATCAGTTGGCTCTTTGCTCAGATTTGCTCACTTTGCTCTCAGAATCCCTTTTACCAGACATTTAGTCACCATGGTCATTTCTGGGGCCGGAGCCTGGTTTTCATGAGCTGCTCTTGTCAGCAGCATACAGCTTTGTTGTACACAAACCTAGGGGGAGCAGGCGAGAACTCATCCCCAGGTGGAGCCAGATATCCCACATCTCACCAGACACCAGATACCTAAACCTGTGTCCTGGGAGTTGCTTACCCAGGGCATCCTTGACTCTCCATAGAGGCTCAGGTCGGGCTGAGACTGCACAGCCTTCTCGAAACACATTTTTTAGTGATTTTTAGTGCAAAGTGCAGGGACTATGGAGTTTTCGGGTTCCTAGTAGCACCAGGGCAGCACTCCGCCATCATTGTTAGACACTCAGAACCAGTCACTCTTTATATATATATATATATATGTATATATACATATGTATATATATCTCTCTCTCTCTCTCGCTCCCTCCCCGTGGCCCTGACGACGACGGCCGAATGATGAATGGGCAATATGCAACAACGGTGCGCGACGTATGTAGCGCAGGCAGAGGGGACGGAACCCGACACAACGGTGTGATTCACTGTCAACCTGGGCCCGAGGATGCAAAACGTCCCAGAAACACCCAGAAAATCAGCGCCCCCAACTTTAAGGCCGTCCCCACTCCGCCCTATATCCCGAAGCCCTAAACCCTAAACCTTAAACCCTAAACCCTAAGCCCTAAACCCTAAACCCTAAAAGCTAAACCCTAAACCCTAAACCCTAAACCCTAAACCCTAAACCCTAAACCCTAAACCCTAAACCCTAAACCCTAAACCCTAAACCCTAAACCCCAAACCCTAAACCCTAAACCCTAAACCCTAAACCCTAACCCTCGCAGAATCCCAGGCCTTGGGCGCCGGTGGTGCCGAGCTCCGGGGCCTTGTCGCCAATACGGCGCTGCGGCGGCGGAGCGAGCTTGATGGGCCCGCGGAAGGGGGGGGGGGGGGGGGGAGAGGGTTTAGCGGGTTTAGCGGGTTTAGCGGGTTTAGGGGGTTTAGGGGGTTTAGGGTGTTTGGGGGGTTTAGGGGGTTTGGGGGGGGGTTTAGGGGGGGGTTAAGCGGGGGGGTTTAGGGGGTTGGTTTGGGGGGTTTAGGGGGTTTAGGCGGTTTAGGGGTTTAGGGGGTTTGGGGTTTAGGGTTTGGGGGTTGGGGTGGGCTACTTGGAGGTTCACAAGTAGGGTTATAAGTAGGAGAACCATAACCGTACTTAGGGTACTTCTAGCCTTCATAACTACGCATGAACCTTCAAGTAGCGGGGTCAGGAGGGTTAAGGTTTAGGGGTTAGGGTCTCTCTGGGGGTTAGCAGTTTCGGGGTTAGGTTTAAGGTTAAGGGGGGGTAGGGTTGTCGAAGGGTAGTTACATGGTCCCTTAAAACGGGCCCTTAAAGCGGTACTCCGTATGTACCTCTTGTTATCCCTATACATCCCTGTACAAATTAAAGGCCCACACATCAGAACCCTTCAAAGGAGGTTAGAGACCGAACTAAGGGCCCGTGTAACTACCCTTGAAGGTTGGGGTTCAGGATGGTGAAGGGTTTAGGGTTTAGGGTTTAGGGTTTAGGGTTTAGGGTTTAGGGTTTAGAGTTTCGTGGAGTACGTTTAGGGCCCGCGGGCTATTCTTGCGTGTACCCTATACTGTCGAGTCCGGTTCCCAAAGCCTGAACCCAAACCTTGGGCCTCAAACCTTCAACCCCAACCGGGTGGGGGGGGGGGGGGGGGGGAGGAAATGTGGAATTTCGAACGGCGCAAAAAGCGCGTGTAAACCCTAACCTACCCTAAACCCTAAGCCCCTCGAGGCACGCTCTACCCCCCAACTCTCGATACATGAGGCATATAGATCCGAGACTCCGACAGAAGGGGCAGTGTTGGGCTCATGCCAGGCCGATTCAAGGTCGAGGCAGCCAGGGTATTAGTCAGACCGACCTGTCCTATTATCATTCTTAATTATTAGTATCATGATTTTTTCTTCTTATTTTTTATTACCTACGTATGACCCTACTTCTAACTACCCATGAACCTCCAAGTACTCCTGGATTGGGTGATGTGTGCCGGCAGTTTGTGCCAACCGTGTTGCCTAAACCCTAAACCCGAAACCCGAAACCCTAAACCCTAAACCCCAAACCCTAAACCCTAAACCCTAAACCCCAACCCCTAAACCCTAAACCCCAAACCCCAAACCCTAAACCCTGGGAGGCCAACAGCCTTGGCTTTCTCAGAGCTTCTGAGCCAACTCGGCTTACATCCGGAGGCTGCGGGTGCCCTTTATTGGAGGTTCGTGGGTGGTTATAAGTAGGGTTGTAAGTAGAGTTGCTCTACTTACAGCCTTTCTTGGGGTACTTATAGCCTTCCTTATAACTATACTTGCAACCTTACTTGGGGTACTTATAGCCCTACTTAGAACTACACACGAACCTGCTAGTACTGTCGCATTGGAATTGCTGTTGATGCCGCGCACGCAGTGGTCAGGACGACTTGATGCTGGCATTGGCAGACATGACGACGCCGGCTCTTTACTTGTACTGATCGCACCTACCCGCTCCATGTGCGGCTTGAAGGCAAATCGCATCTAACAGTCGAGAAGTCCTGACACTAGATTCCCTTAGCAAACCCATGCGTGCGTTACTCGTACAAACGTGAAGTGCGAGGCAGCACTAAGTCACTAATCATGGTCGGGTTGCATGGCAGCTATGCGTAAGATGGGCGACATGCTAAGCTTTGCGAACCATGTAACCCCTAGAGCCGAATTGTGGAAAAGGGGGCCCTTGCCGTGCTCAAACTGAACAGCTGGTGGTTGGCTGACTTGGGTTTAGGGTTTAGGGTCTAGGGTTTCGGGATATCAGGGCATGTTTATGTGGTCTTAGTGTGAGCTGTCTTCTGCTTGGCAAGCTCATACACATTGGCGGATCCTCTCTGCGCAAGTATCATATTTCTTGATGCCGCTTGCAAATCACGAAGGTCCAGCGCATGAGCCTGAATCAACATCAGCAGACTCGGGATCCGAGCACAAACAAGCAGGTAGCCTACTGCAGCACGTAGAGATCGTGATATGCTCCAATCATCGACGAGCTCTGACTGCGTGTGTCGTCCTCGTAGAAACTTCCTTGCCATGGCTCTTCTCCCGGAGGTGGGATCCGCGGCATGTTGCGAGTATCCGACTTCGAAGCTTGTGGCGCCATGTCCTTCTGCCCAGGCATTTACCCTGGGTACGGCACCACCTGTGCTGTCTGTTGCGAGGTCCGCTCGGATGGACGTGACCTGCGACATGCCCAGGGTTTTTTTTACCAAACTTATGAAATGTTATTTCATTTATAACATAGCTATATATACATATATATGTAATAGTATAAGTATATATATATATATGTGTACAAATGCATGCTTTATATGCATCAGTACGTATTGTATATGTGTTGTTATCATAGTAGAAATACCTTGCTTTTTCCTGCAGGGTCGCCCCAAAGCCTGGCCGGGTATCGCGCGAAGCTCCGGAGCGAGGCGAAGATTCCGGGGTTTGTTTGCCTCTGATATTAAGGTTTAGGGTTTAGGTTTTAGGGTTTAGGGTTTGGGGTTTAGGGTTTAGGGTTTAGGGTCCTCATCTAAGCCCTAGAACCCCAAAAATGGTTTTGGAGTTTAGGGTTCAGGGTTTAGGGTCCAGGGACCTTCTTGGGGTCCTAAGCATAAGGGAATCCTACTATTTGGGGGATCATATTAGGGGTCCCTTATTTTCGTACCCCATACAGTAGTAGTAGTAGTAGTAGTAGTAGTAGTAGTAGTAGTAGTAGTAGTAGTAGTAGTAGTAGTAGTAGTAGTAGTAGTAGTAGTAGTAGTAGTAGTAGGTCGTCTTCGTGGTAGCAAATACACGAAACACATCATAAACAACAGCAATAAACAGTGATGCATAATAACATCAAGAATGATTGGTCGTGAGAGCGGCCGCCTTCAGGCAAAGACATTCAGACAGCTTGCTATTTACATATACATGTTCCTGAACTTCCTAAACAACCTAAAGCAACCGAGTTACTGAGGCCTTGAAGGCCTAAGTTGATGTCTGGACCAGGTGGTCCGTCGAGGCTTGCTGCAGCTGCCACTGTTTTAGTGGCAAGTGTTGCGGCAAAGAGGCGGGGCCATCTTGAGGGTTTAGGGTTTAGGGTTTAGGGTTTAGGGTTTAGGGTTTAGGGTTTAGGGTTTAGGGTTTAGGGTTTAGGGTTTAGGGTTTGGGGTGTTAAGGTTGCTAGGTTATTCGGGGCATGTTGTGGTATTCGGGGTGAATGCCACAGATAGGGGGCGAGGGACGTACAAGCTGGACAGCAGAGCTTGGAACAGTCGAATGCGGTCATGTAGAGGATGTTGGAGATCACGAGCCCTGGAAAGGCCTATATCCCCCTTGGGAATTGTTTTTTAGTTTTGTTTATATAAATCCCAAGAGGATATTAAGCATATTATTTTTATTAAGGTTCTAAGGGGAGTATAGAGGCTGTTTATGTGGCTTGGATCCGAAAACACCAGAAGTTTTGAACTATGTCAGGGTACGTCTCAGCTTTGGGGCATTCTTACGAGCAGACGCTTAGTAACTGTCTGATGATGCCATGGGCAGGCGGACACCGGACACACGGATGACAGCAACAGGAATGAGGGCGAGGGCCCAGTCCTGAGTCCTGAGAGTTAATGGTGACCTTACAACTGCGAATATGGTCCATCGGTTTTCCTTCATGCCGTCTTTGCCCGGTTTGCCCCAACATCAAGATCGCATTGTTCGGCAGGGTTGAGCATTGAGGGTTGCCAGCGCGGAGGTTTCAAAAGGAGGCGACAAGCCACCCACCATCCCTTACCAACAACTGCGAAGGCTTTGCAGACAGCTCCTGTAATGATTGTGCTGCTTGCCATCGGCCTGCCCAAGGCAGACAAAGGTCTAAAACATGCGAACATGCAACCCGTGCTTCTCATTCTGCGATCGTGGGGAAGTTGATGTTACATTTGCTGCTCAAAGCTCCAGGCTTTGCCAATTAACATGTCCAAGCCTTTCATCCCCCCTTCCAATCCCCTAAACCCAAACCCTATGCCCCCCTCTCCCCACCCCGACAGGGTTAGCCTTAATGAACCCTCAACCCTCAACCCTAAGCCCTAAGCCCTAAGCCCTAAGCCCTAAACCCATGCCCCAGGCCGAGGGGCAGACGAACAGCCATGGAGCGGCCGTGGCGACGGCAGGGCGGCTTAAGCGTTCGTGTGGGAAAGAGGTCTTTGAGCAGAGTCTTTACGTCCAGAACTTGGGGGTTCCTGAGAGCCCAAGATGTAGGTTTTACTTGCATTTTGTACAAATTTGCAACACTTAGCCAACTGACAGGACGAGCTGTGGCAACGCTTTGCTGATTGGGTTGCGGCAAGAGGTGGGGACATGGTCTGCAACTCAGGCTAGGACTACTTGTGTTCTAATCATGGCGGCACCACCATGATCCTAGCTTGCTTGAGCCACATTCGGATCTGGATGTGGGTGCAAGCATAAGGCTCGGACAGGTCGAAAGTCACAGTTTGACATGAAGTCAATCCAGATCTGTCTTGCGCAGTCGCACCGGCACAAAGGCGAATGTGGAGATAGCGGACATCGATGGAATGCATGGCTCTTGGCACTCTGAAGCCGCTTCGTAAGACATTACCTCCACCTCCACGTAAAGAACCTTCGAGCTGACTTTAGCCAGCAGTGGACGAGTCGAAAGACTTCTCACAGCCACCCACCATTCGCTTGCCCAAAACCACGATGCCAGTTATTAGAAAAAACAGTGCCTACATGGTGGTTCCCGACATTAGGGGTACCTTCTTGGGGTCCTTGTTATAAGGGAATCCTACAATTTCGGGGGCGATTATAGGGTTCCCGTATTGTCGTCAACCCCCACATACCTTGTCAGGCGTGGCTTGATCGCTGCGCGAGACATTGAGGAGGATGAGTCCATCGCCGGGTGCCAAGACATTGGTTTGGACTGAAAGCTGCTGATCGCCGATGCCATCTTTCGAGCCTGCAGCAGCTTCAGGTGGAGATACCTCTCACCGCCTCCATAGATATCTCAGAGCCAGGGACCACCTGCGAATGCATTCCAGAGTGAGAGAGAGAGGGTGGGAAAGAGATGAAGGGAGAACAAAATAACAGAGAGGGTTTGGACCCTAAACCCTAAACCTTAGAGCATGAGCCCGAGGAACTGAAGGATTGACACGTTTGGGTTTAGGGGCTGCGGAGGTCTTTGCACTTAACCTGCCTAATTGCACAGGACACGGGGCGCGCCGGTGCGCCCGGGGACGACCCCAGAAGAAGAAGAAGAAGAAGAAGAAGAAGAAGAAGCGGCAGCAGAAGCGGAAGCACAAGAACAAGAAGACGAGGAGAGGTACTTCGGAGGCATGGCGAGCCGGAAGGATTAAGGGAAAGGAAAAGGGCAAGGGAAAAGGAGAAGGAAAAGGGCAAAGGAAAAGGGAAAGTGAAAGAGGGAGAGCGTTGGGCTGGGCGGCTGAAATTAGACATGCGCACGCAGCTCAATGTTGTAGCCACTGTGTTTGACTTCCTGCCACAACGCTTGATGCGAATAACCAGAGTACATGTCGGCCCTTCGGCACGTGCAGAGAATTTGCAGATTGAGTTGTGCTTTGCGTAGAAGAAATACATCAACCCTAAACCCTAAAACCCTAAACCCTAAACCATTGTTCCTCGCAGGAACGATAAAGATCCAAGCGCTCCAGCCCTGAACCTTCTAAAGCTGCGGGCTCAGATGCTCCCGGAATTTCACTCGGGAAGTTGGCCCTTCCACCACCATCGTCTTAAGAACCCCCCAATACATAAAGGTAATAACCCCTATATTGCCCTTGTAAGGAAGAAGTAGGAATAATATTTGTTTCTAACTTTGGGGGGTTCTTAAGCAAGTAGTAGCCATACAGAAGCTAGGACCAGCTAAGGTTCCTGGATGACGCAGCCAGAGGCCCAGATTCGGGTGCACTGTGCCGTGCCGCGCCAACAAGAGCTTGTCATTACAAGTATCCAGATAGCCTGCGATTCGCCCGCCGCGGATTTCGTTTCCTGAGGATTTGCAGCCGTATATGGATCTTCTGCCAGGTGCAGTGCTGAATGTGTTGATGATGCGGTTCGATCATGATGTTGCATGTTGCATCCTTGGCAGTCACCGAGCAAGCATTCGTGAACTCCCCCCCCCCCCCCCCAGTAAATGTCGTTAGCACACACTAGCAGAGGTTGCACGTAAATTCAGCCGGCGTGCTTTCATTTGATCGCCTCGGCATTGTAGCAACCCTGCAAACCCTGTGCGCAGCTAGTCGCCAGGCACCTCTGCCTTTGCATCCCTGTCCCGGAAAACGTTTGATCGCCCAAGGCGACATGGCTGTTAGCACCAAGGGGGTATCTAGTGGTTTGCGCATTAGAAGCAGTTGTGTGTTTCAACCATCCCGCACGCATGCCAAGACCCTTATCCCCACCCACCCACCAAGAAAGTATAAGAAATTTGTGAGAAGGCAACTGCAGATTAAACCCTAAAGGTTCCTTCTGGCTCCGCGATTTTTGTGTGCTGGGTTTCCAGGACGGACATCCCCGGACATCAGCAGGCTTGATGGCGTCAGCCGTGAGTTGCGACGCACTGTAGGGTGTGGGATAAACACAGCATGACACAGCACCACTTTCATTGCTGCACAAGCCGCAACGGAGCCTGTCAGTAGGTTGCACATCACAGGATTCTACCCTTGCGCGACGACCTCTGTGGCTCGAAAGTGCGAGGCACGTTCCGGAAGGTCCGACTTCGATCGCGCAATGTCAGAGGAGCCTCCCGCCACAGAGCAACAAAGCCGCAAGAGCTCGAAGACGTTCAGCAAAACGATCGAAGCGATCCAGCCAACTGACAGTCAAGACTGCGCCCTGCGGATTTCTCGCTCCATTAGCACAGTCATGCCGTCGGAAGCTTAGTCATAGTTGAGTGCCATGTTACATTTTTAAGGGTACTTAAACCCAATAAGGAATATAAAATTCATTTTTAATTATTATCCCAACCATGAACCAGGAAGGACGGCCGGGCTCGTCCAGATCCCGGTCGAGCTCTCCTGCATTCAGTGTGGATAGCGATTGCTGGTTCGGTTCAGCATCGCGGGCAAGAACTCCTAGCGCCTGCCCGTCGGAAGATGAAGAGGTGACTTACTCACACCACTTCCACTTCATGGTCAGTGCAACGAAATCTTCTTTGTTGCGACGGCCAGAAGCTGCGCCTGACAAAGAGGACCAAGAGGCTCCGGCAAAGGCAGCTCCTAAGGGTGCAGCTGCCTCAGGAAACGTCGCCCAGAAGTAGCTCAGTTTTGAGGGGTGCGGGGTGCAGGAGCAGCATTTAAACAACCGCTTTCATGTGCTCAGGAGGCAACAAATCTGAACGACAATTATTTAATGATTATAACTATAGTTTTTTAATGACTATAGTTATTTCATGATCATAATTATACTAATTTTCTTAATATTAAGTCATCTTGAACAGGGCGCAAGCTCGCACCTGCATTCTACGCCTCATCCCCGCGACCATCCTTCCGCAGTTGCAGCTAGCCTTCTGCTTTCCACTATATCCCCCCTAGGGTTTAGGGTTTAGGGTTTAGGGTTTGGGGTTTAGGGTTTAGGGTTTAGGGTTTAGGGTTTAGGGTTTAGGGCTACATAAAACCCAAGAGGATATGAAGAAGAATATGTCTATTCAGGTTCTAAGGGGGAGTATAGTCCATGGCGCCGCCTCAAAGGCGGCCCACTTCGGTTTTCGGCTGGATGAGTCCGAGCTGATGCGGTCTTGGCTCAGCTAGAGTAAACCCCAGAAAGTTGGATCATGGTTTAAGGCTGAAGGATGATTAGAGCTGGGATTCCCTTTAGTAGCCCTTTTGGGGTATGGGGGGTACGGATGTTGCAACTTTTTGGAGTTTACTGTACGTACTTTGAGTCGTGGCAAGTAGTTTTGCAGTACGCTGCAGAAACTCATCAACGATCGAAGTGCCCACGAATATTTTCCGGTAGTTCCGATCATGTGAACCGTGAATTAACATATTGCCTTGATCTTGCCTACTGTAGACGCCCTAGACCACAGAACCAAACTCCACGCTAAACCCCAAACCCTAAACATCTGGAAGGAAGCCCCCAGAATGCAGGATCAAGTCCTCCGCAAATACATATCAATGTATGTGCAAGGCTTCACCTTAGTCCTGGCACCCGGGTACCAAGCACCACGAGGGCCAGGTGTTTCCAACGTCCGACATGGAGCTTGAGTCTAAGTCAGCAAGCCCAGGTTGGAAAAGAAGCCATAGGCTGACCTGACTGAAGGTGTAGTGGGGTTCTGCGTAGCGCAACTATACGTATAGCCTTAGTTTGGGTACTTCTGACCCTACTTGTAGCTACCCTACCCCTGATCCTCCAAAGTGGTGCTGTGCCAATTTTAGTGCTCTTGGGCGACCTCACAGTCCATCCAGGATGCCAGACTTCTACTCGGAAGAAGAGCTGAAGATGCTGTGCTGGCCCCAGTTACCTCCCCACATGGGTTTAGGGTTTAGGGCTTAGGGTTTAGGGTTTAGGGTTTAGGGTTTAGGGTTTAGGGTTTAGGGTTTAGGGTTTAGGGTGCGCGTGTTCACTTTCTGTCGCTGAACTTGCCATCTGAACACGGGTCATCCTTTGGCCCGCTGCACTAGGCTGGCAAAATCTGCCAACTTGTTGAAAGGCATTTTCTGTTGCATGATGCATGGGCGAGGTGTCAATCTGATTTTGTCCATGTCTGGCCTCTGTCAGGCAGTGTCCTGAAGTCATCCAGAAGACGAAGCGCAGACAGCGCGTTGGCTGCAAGCAGCAAGTATGGGTGACCAGATCTTGATTGGGTGCTGCTTCTGCGGATGCTGCAACTCCGGCGGCTGGTACTGCTGCGCCTGGTAGCACGAAGCAGAGAAAAGTAGCAGAGGAAAGGGCCAAAACTTTAACGGGAACCTGAACAAGGGGGCGGTCTGGAACAAAAACCTCGCCGAAAAGACGCCTGAACCCGCCACCAGGATTGGGTTCCTTGTTCAAAGGGAGTAGAGGGGCAAACGCAAACTGACACTGAATTTACTGCACACTTTCTTTCCATGCTCTTGTGTGTTGTTTTCTCTGTTTGTTTGTTGCGGTGGGTGGTGGGTTTTGGCGTTTACGGCTCCGGGAGTAGGGCCTTTTTTCGGGTTTAAGTCTTCTGTTTTTTGGATGTTTCGGCGTTGATGGATGTAAGGATTAAAGCATTCGGGGCTGCACCACTTTGCCGAACAGAAGTTGAAAAACAAGCGTCATGTATCAGCACACTCAAAACGCTCAACAAGTCGCGCACATCTGCGCTGATGCTCTTCACAGCGCACCTTACGTAAGACACACATTACAGGAGAGAGTCACGACAGGTCCGATGATTTGTATACGGAGAGCGGGGAGGGCGGTGCTCAAAAAGGGTAGTCTTTTTTATTGAGATGCGACTAAGCCACGTGGCAAATCCGGAGAATCTCATCATATCATAATATGGGGGGTTTCCGAAATGAGGGGGTACCTTGTTGGGGTCCTGACTATAAGGGGATACTCGGAAGTCTCCTGTTTTATCCCACCGACACATTCAAAACGCAGCCCCTCTGTTGAGGCCCGATCTTTCGAGGATCTCCTTCCCAAACGACTCAGCACTTGCAGTACGTTCAGTATTTTGAAGCTCCAGGGCAAAGGAGACTTTGCAAACGGGGCCCGGCCCGTGCCTTAAAGCGCGCACGTGAACACTTCCGACACTTTCGGATGCCAGCGCAGTAAGCACGTGTCTCACACAAAGTCGTATGTCCAGCATGCATTGAGCTGCGACACTGGGTTTTATTTGGGCTCAATCTGGCTGTTGGAACCTTAACCCTACATCCTAAACCCTAAATCCTAAACCTTAAACCCTATACCCTAAATCCTACACCCAGTTCCCTTTCCACTCTGGGATGGAACAAGATTACATGCTGCGTAGGAAAGATGCAGCCTCTCTCTCTGAATCAGGCAGCTGTGCGCAACGCGGGCGGCGGAGCAGCGGCACCCAGGAAACAGTTTAGGGTTTTGGGTTTAGGGGTCAGGGATTAGGGAAAAAGTCGAGTAACGACTTGGTGAACTGCTTGGTGCAGTTCGCCTCACCCCCGGCAGCGCCCAACCTCCCATGAGATTCCCTTGCAAGCATCTGCACAAGCACGGGTCCAGGGACTAACGGAGGGACCCTTACAAGGGACCTGCGGGGTTATTTGGGGATAAGGTTAAGGGTCACTTCTAGGGGTCCCTCCTTATATCCTTTAATCAGGTCATCCCTGGACGCAGAGGATGTCAAGTGGGCATTGTGCACTGTTGCCCAACGCAGGAGCCCTGGCACAGCGAAGATGGTTGTTCTGAATGCTTGGCATTGTTAGGACGCTCCTACTTGGAGGCTCATTCGGTAGCTATAAGTAAGGTTATATTATAAGTAATTATAAGTAGGGTAACTCTACTTGTAAGCTTACTTTGGGTACTTATATCCTTGCTTTCATAACCTTTAACTACCCACATATAACCCGACTTATAGCCACACCTGAACCTCCAAGAAAAAATCCCTAAACCCCAAACCCTAAACCCCAAACCCTAAAACCCCAAACCCCAAAGTCTTAGCCATAAACCCTCGGCTTGGCCCTTTTCATGCTCAGGTGCCTTCTCCGTCGTCTCTCCGATAGACGGCTTGCTGCGCTTACTTCTGCCACCGACTGAGCCTTTAGGCTTTGGGGTTTAGGGTTTAGGGTACATGTCCATTTGTATGTTTAAACCCTAAACCCTAAACCCCAAACCCTAAACCCTAAACCGAGCAGGAGGCACCTCCTGACCACGCAAAGCAACCGTCACCAGGCCTGGCATTGACCTTTTCAACCATGACGCGCACGCGCCTGCCCCCTGGAAATCTGGGTGAGTTGTTTGAAAGTAGGGGTACCGTACATGTACGTTTCTTTGGAATTCCATTAATGCAGGTTGTAGAATGTTGGTGGCTATGTCAGGGGTACCCGCCTTCTTTTTTGTTGCTGTTTTGTCAGTCCCCCTCCCTAGGGTGCACTGGTGTAGAAATGTGGATCCAACAACTCCTGTATGGTTCTAGTATTGTAGTAATTCATAGAAATTTCAACTAAATAGTGTATACCAAAGTACTATATCGTATACTCGTATACTCTATGTATACATAGTTCACAAATAAATCTATAAATATATAAATATACATATATATATATACATATATATATGTATATCCTGCCCTGACCAGACACCCCGCCGTGGAAGAAGGACTCGTATGCATCTCGGAAATCATCAAATTGCGGATCCGGCAATCTCTAAAATCCAAAATCCCTGAGCCCCTAAACCCAAAACCCTACGCCTTAAACCCTAAACCCTAAACCCTCGCCTGCTCTAGAAAATGGGCAGCTGGGGATGCCATCCGTCATGTACAAAAGTCATTCAATACGTGACTGCGCCTCTACGATGTCGGCTACCATGCAAGTTGGGGGACTTCCGAAAAGAAGGGGCCCTTGAATATAGACCCCCCCTAAATAGTAAGGTTCCCTTCTGTAGAAGGACCCCAAAGAAGGTACCCCTAATTTGGGAAACACATGGGTAGTCCTCGGTATGACCTCACTTAGGGTCCACATAACCAAAACCACCCATGCACCTCCAAGCAGGGTTTAGGATTTGGGGCTTGTTTTGGGGTGTGTGTGTGTGTACAGTTTCATTGATCCCCAAAAGGTTTGGTGTACTCTTCGGGGATGGGGTTTGGGTAGAGTTGGAGACATTCGCCATGCTGCACACCACGTTGGTGCATTCTCTCAGTGTACCTCCACAGAACATCGTAATGTAGATTTACATTCCCTGGCTCTCGTCTCGACCGTTCACTGACTCCCGCCTTGCTGGTTGATGGCAAGTTGGTTCCTGACGGTTTCAACCTCTGCAGGTTTTATGGGAGGGTCCAGCCGAACAGCTTCGTATAGCATGCCAGGCTACATGAGATGAGGGTACGCTGGAATCTGCAGGGCTATGTGAATGCCAGCTTCAAGGCCGGCACACATCAACTCACGAGGAGAAACACGAGGTTGCAGGCTCGGGGTTTAGGGTTACTCAAAGCTTAAAGCCATCCATCAGGTGGTCGCCAAGTCTCCGATAAAGAAGGGCGAGGAGGCGCGCGATCGCGCAAGGGAAGGACACAAGAAGCAGCATCTAAAACCTGAACACAGGGTTGGTATTGAGTGGTGCTGAGTGGTATAGTATAGGAGACTGAGTCGCATGTATCGAGAGAGTCGAAACTGAATGCCTCTCTGCAGATCCGGATATGCTATGGGGGGAACCCCTTTCGACCGGACGGCTGCGGTGGTGACTGCACAGGGGACATGGCCTGCAACTCGAGTGCTAAAGCACTGGTGCTGAGTTCAATCAGGGTTTTAGGGTTTTTCGGGGTGTATAATTAGGGTTTAAGTTCAGGGTTTAGGGTTTACGGTTTAGAGAAAGCGGCTCGTATGTTTTGCCAGCCATTGGTGCAGCTGGGTCTCGACTGCTCATTCAGTTGGCAAGCGCCTTTCTGTCCCCAGGCCTTGACCAACGCGCAGTATTTGCAGAGATACGGCTTTGTGGATGACTCTCAGATGCGTTTGTTTGCACGACTTGGTATGTCCACATTGTGCCCGTACTGAAAAGTCTAGAACTCGACGAGCCTGAGTGTTGCTCACCTGAGGATTGCTTCGGCACGACTATGGTGGATGGCAAGTCGAGCCGACACACTTGCATGGCTCGGTAACATGCAACAAGGAGCAGTTGTGTTTACAATGTTCTGATGCCAAACAGCATCGGACTGTTCCTGGCAATCTGTGACGTGCCATGTGGGGGTTTACGATACTACGGGACCCTTCATATAGCCCCCAAATAGTAGGAGCCCCTTGTAATCAGGACCCCAATAAGGTACCCCTAATATCGTAAACCCCCAGGTGGCTGGTGAAGCCAGAAGCCGAGCCAATCCGCGAAAGTCTGGTGCAGACCTCAAGCGATCCGGCTTTGCCACCTCCTCGCAGCTCTGCGATGACAACTGCCCCATGCACTTCAACCCTAAACCCTAAAACCCTAGACCCTAAACCCTTCCGTGAGGCTCAAAGCAGCGCAGAGGAGGACGAAAAGCTTCTGTCCGACAGGTGTGCAGCTCAGACCACGAAGTTTCGATGTGTTCTTCATCACTGCCATCTCGTCATGAATACGATACGGGGGTTTAGGAACACAGGGGACCCCGAATATAATTAGACCCCAAAATAGTAGGGTTCCCATATAATAAGGATCCAGTAAAAGTGCCCCTAAAATCGAAAACCCCGATTTACCGGCATGGCACCCTAAACCCTAACCCTAAATCCTAAACCCTAAACCCTAAACCTTAAACCCTAAACCCTAAACCCTATGAGAACGCCTCGCCAACCTGTGAATGTCTGCAGTTCCCTGTCCATCTCAGCCAAGACGGCCATCGAGTCTGCCCGGCCATGGCTTAGGGTTTAGGGTTTAGGGTTTAGGGTTTAGGGTTTAGGGTTCAGGGTTTAGGGTTTAAGGTTTAGGGTTTGGGGTTTAGGGTCTAGGGTCTAGGGTCTAGGGTTTAGGGTTTAGGGTTTAGGGTTTAGGGTTTAGGGTTTAGGGTTGATGACGTGCAAGGGTGTGTTGGACGCAACAAGCTTTGTGCCGGCGAAGTCAAAGTTCGAGCATGTGCAGTCATATGCATGTTGTTCGTTAGGCTACCTGGAGGTTCATGGGTAGCTAGAGTGGTGTTATAAGTAAGGAAACTACAAGTCTAACAGCTTAAACTTCTTACTATGGGTACTTATACCAGTAGACTGGTGACTCCCCATGAACCTTCAAGTTGTCATTGACCCAACAGCCTTGCTCTGCGTCGTCTTATCTGCATCTTCACAGCGTGCACATCGTGACAGGTTCCGTCGGCAGATGAAGATTGCGCTGAAGGCCCAGCAGGAGGCGCGACAGCACCTGAATTGACGATGGCAACTCGGCCAAGTGCCCAGGGCTCTCATGATTCCGCATGATTGTGTGAGAAGCCCCGGTGGCGGGAGGCAGATGCACTGAAAGCCAAAGCGGAGGCAGAAAAGAGCGAGGCAGCTGCAAGCAAACCCTGTTGGGAGATGTCGTGAGTGCATGTCTCCACCCTTGTCCTTACGAAACCAGTTTGCCCGGGTTCAGGACGCTGATCGTGTTCACCATGCCTAAGACCGAAGATTTATTCTCCCTTGTGAAGGAACAGAAGCGTGCTAAGCCCCAAACCCTAAGCCCTAAGCCTTGTGTGAAGGAACAGAAGCAGGCAGAACGAGAAGCGAAGGAGAAGGCAGAGGAGGAGGTACCGACGAATAGGGTTTTGGGTTTTTGGGTCCAAGCGAACACAACTAAATGCCCAAATCTTGTCCTACTTTAAGACCCCCCATAAAACCCGAAACCCTAAACCCTAAACCCTAAAAAATCACCTTTAAAATCCCGAGCCATAGGAGCGGCTGAAGGAGGCGAATGCAGAGGAGGCGCGAAGGCAGCTCTTTGCTGCCCTGGAGGCCGTTGGGGGTTCAGGGTATAGGGTTTGGGGTTTAGGGTTTGGGGTTTAGGGTTTGTAATGTTGGGATGTTCCCCCTTCTACTGACAGCTCCTCTATGGGGATGATAGTACCCCCGATTATCCCTATTAAGGACTGTTAGCATAAAGGGGAACACCGATGTAGGAATGTAGGGCCTCTCCAGCACTTACGGTTGGTTGTGGCGTGGCTGTATGGATTCTGCAAGCAGTCGGTCAAAAACGCTTGGTCTTTGCTGCGAATGTGCAGGAGAAGCAATGAATGGTGGTGTGACTCTTTCTCCCGGTACCCATGTCACCAAACAAGAAAAGCTTGAGTGGCAGAAATCAGGCAGGTGCACGCCCGTTGGCACCTTTGCGCACTTTGCCTTGCAGCCTACTCGTAGGCGTGTGCTTCGGCATGCAAGTGTCTTGCGGAAGCAAGGTTCATGATTCATGAGCTTAAGAACCCCAAAAAATGGGAAATATTCTTCCTTATTAAGGGAAACTATTGTTTTTTTGATTCTTTTGGGGTTCTTAAGCAAATAGGAGGCAAGGGGAGAGGATGGGATAGGGTTGCCTTTCTTGGGAAGTTGAGATGGCATCTGAACCTGCATGAATGCCGACTTTGCTCGACTTCTGTGTAGCTTCCACTGCGTGGGACACATGCTGCAGAGTCACACCTGCAGACTGTAGTAGGGTTTAGGGTTCAGGATTCAGGGTTTAGGGTTTAGGGTTTTCTGACTCTCGACTTCGCCACCCACTGGGCACCGATGCAGCCATAACTCTCACGCAGCATCTGCATCGGACACCTCGAAACCCACTAACCCAACCTCCTGGCAGAGGATTCTGCTCGCATAGGGTTTAGGGTTTAAAGTTTACGCACCACCCCCCCCCCCACCGTCCCCTCACACCGTCGCGTACTCTCATGACGCAGTACTTGACAATCAGAGCCTCCCAGCGGGACGCTGACTCGTCCATGGCGGCGGCAGGCTCTTTGGCAAGGTGCGCGAGGGTTTTGGTAGAGAATAGCGAAGGATGGTACTGGGAATGCATGGTCGAAGTAGACCCTGACATAAACAAGCGAGAAGCCTCACAGAGCTTCATGAAGAAGCCCCCCAAAAAACCCCAAAACACCCTAAACAACCCATTTAAAAAACCCTGACAACCGTAATAAAAAAAAAGCCTAAAACCCCACAACACTGCAGAGAAGCCGCGGAGTCGATTCAGCCATTGGATCGGGTGCAGGAGGCAATGATGCGCTGGCATGCAATTCTGGCAGGGGCCTCCAGACAACTGCAAGGCCCCCCCAACCGAGTCTCAACGCTATAGGCCCATGGAGCCCTGCGCCCGAACCCCACCTCCCATTGCGGAGCTTTCGTAGGCCCTGGCCGCAAAAGGGATTCCTGCGGCTTGCGTGATTAAGTACATGGGTTCTCACACCCACGGCTCTTCTCACATGCCACATGCTGCCACACACATCATCCTACATCATCCTACAACCTACACCATCCTACATCATCCTACATCATCCTACATGATCCCACATCATCCCACATCATCCTACAATCTGAATCGTCGACTCAACCCGAGGTCGAAGCTGGTGTTTCTCACCTGCGCGGTCATCATTGCCGCTTGCATCCTATCCGAGGACCAGCGACGCTTAAGCCACAGGCACATTGTGACAGCAGCGGGAGCAAAGGCTGAAGCACTACCAAGCACCATCTATTGCAGCTGGGTTGACGGAGGCCAGTACATGGGGGTTTACGAAAATACAGGAACCCCAACGTGAATCCCCCAAAGAGTATGATTCCCTTATATTAAGGACTCGAAAAAGGTACTCCTAATTTCGGAAGCCCCTGTATTGAGAGCATCCATGAAGGCTGCTCTGAGTGCGAAGATTGAAGATTTCCCTTCTACTGATACTTGCGCATGCACTTTGCTTCCAGGCCCTTGGCGGCTGTGCAGATAAAAATACCAGCCCTCAGGGCTCTAAACCCTAAACCCTAAACCCTAAACCCTAGCACACGCAGCGCGGTCTTAGCACGCGCTTGAGCATACGATTGAGACTGGACAACACGTAGAGCGAGGAAGGTACTGGCAGCAGATGCAGGAAGTGACCGCAGTATTATTCTTTGTATCATTATTGTTATTATCATTATTATTATCACGATTATTATTATCATTATTATTATCATTATTATTTTTTAGGGCTTGAATGAGCATCGACCAGGAGCTTCTGACCAGCTTCGACCGGACCCCAGCCCCCGAGGCTGGACGCTCCAAAATTCGCATGTGGGCAGCGTTGGGAAGCTCTTGGCTCCTTGCATCAATTTTTGCCACAGAAATGCCATGAACCACGAAGCCCCTTGAAGCTCTCAAAAGCTCGCGTCAGGTTGCAACACGCCGGTTCCCAGAGCTTGCATGTCAGAAGCTGCGCAGCCTACGCTTCAGCGGAGATGTTTCGCCTGTGGCCAGGATGGGATCGATGTTCCAGAAGGTGCGATATTATTACTGTTATGATGATGATTATGATTAGTTTTATTATTATGAGTATACAGGCTGAGGCCAAGGGGGGCTCGCATTCAGGAAGCCGCATTTTTGGTCTCATTGGTTCGTTGAACAAACGCTGAAGAGACAACGATGTTGGCAGTGCTTCGCAGCTGTGCTCAATGTTGAGATCCGAAAACTCATGTGTCTTTGCCTTGCCTTGAGGCGTTAGCAGCAACTGTGCAGACGAAGCCACCCGAGTAAACTTACAGCATGTTGCCGCCATGAGACTGCACATGCCAGGTCCCAAGGAACTCGAATACAAGCCAGCGAGCGTTGGCGCCGCAAGCTCAGGTCCATGCAAGCCCTGGTAAGTAAGGCTCATGCCGCTCAGTTGTGTAGTTGCTACTTGGAGTAGTTATCAGTAGGGTTGTAGGTACTTCTGGGTTTCTATTTGCGGCTGGGTTTGCAGACATATTAAGCTCTTGCAGGCTGCAAGATAGGGGGGGGGGTTATGAAGCTGTGTGCTGTCTGTTCTTGTGACGAGGTGTTTGTTGGCAACTTTGTGGGGCAGAACAACCAGACTGCCGCGCCTGCCTCAGCATTCTTGTTCGAACCTCCATAGCGAAGCCGCGAATCAGAGGAGCTAAACCCTAAACCCTGAACCCTAAACCCTAAACCCTAAACCCTTTCGTGATAGCCCTAGTTGGCTTGGGTCTCTCCGGAAGCAGCGGGGGTGCCAGTGGCCGCAGTGCGCAAGGCGAGCCATGGCCGTGCCAGGGCAGTGATGACATCACACCCTACTGCTGCCGCATGGTGCCCTAGTGAGGACGCGAGGGCCGGGGCGCTTTCGGATGAATTCGAGTAGCATAATCAAGGGAGTGCATGAAAATGAGGGACGCCAAAAATGTTGACCCCCAAAATCGTAGGATTCCCTTAGAAAAGGACCCCAATGAGGTACCATAAACCCACACTCATGTGAGAAGTTGAGCTGCGGGAACACGCAAGACGTGTGAAGGCTGAGCTTGGCTGAACTTGTTGAGGTCTCATGTCTCGGCTTTCCGTGGCGCTAAGCTTGCAGCTTCAGCCCCAAGCATATGGTCAGTTCTCTAAATTATGGTGCCTCTGAGGGGCCGCCTTATACTTGTAGCCCCAAAAAAGGGGACCGAAATGCTGAGAAGTGACCAGATGCCCTAATCCCTAAACCCCTAAATCCTAAATTAAACCCTAAACCCTAAACCCTAAACCCTAATGATTCCACAGTGGTTGTTGTCGGCCCAGGCAGCTCGGGTCTCGAGCCTGGCATTGACTCTGCTGGCAACAAGGCCAGCCTCGCAGCGCTCTTTTGCCGCTTCGGGTTTAGGGTTTAGGGTTTAGGGTTTAGGGCTTAGGGTTTAGGGTTTAGGGTTTAGGGTTTAGGGTTTAGGGTTTAGGGTTTAGGGTTTAGGGTTTAGGGTTAAGTAGAGACACCAGGCTGCTAAAGGCCTGTGGCCCTTTCGAGGTCTAGTTGTGTTCATTCCCCGTCACACCTCATGCGCAGATGAAATGGTCTTTCTCAAATCAAAGATGAACCTTAAATGTCGACAGCAGTGCTGGCCACAGCCGGCACCAGTGATGAATGATGCATAACTCACAACCCCCGCGCAGTCGTAGGCCAACAAAGCATCCATCCCATCTGCCGGAAGTCCTCAAGCCATTTGGACGAACACCCATTCCCTAATACTATTCCCTCATGGCCCCTTTGTAATTATACTATAAGAACCCCCCAAAAAACCCTACTCTAATTATTCAGGCCCCTATCATTCAACCCATCCGAGACCAAAAAAAGTCCCAGACGCACTCCTCCAAACTGAGGGAACGGCGCCCGCTCTTCCATCCAAGCCGCGAGGCACCCCCAAGACTCTGTTGTTTCTACACTATTATGCGTGTCCCTTAGTTTCGTGTTATACTGTTATATTTGTAGTTGTGGTATACTATTGTATTTATCTTCTTGTTATATGATGGCATTATCTTCATATGTGTATATATATGTGCATATATTGCATTGTGCGATGATTACAGAATTGTGTCACTGTCATTCGAGTAAAGTATGATAGTATTTTCCCATTGCACGCTTAACTTCTGTACGATTCTTCTATTCTTCTTCTTCTATTAGACTATTGGACCATTAGGCGTAAATTTCTCGTAGATATTGAAGATCCATTAAAAGATGATGAAATATAATGCGCAAAAAAATATGGCATGAACCCAATATGTCAATCTAACACAAAATAACTAACAATATTAGACTATTAGACTATATACATATGTGTATATGTATATATGTATATAGACGTTTAAATAGTTTAATGTCTCTCTTCGGGGGCTCTCAGATGCCATAGGACTTCCTCGATGTTTGTGGCCTAGACGTGTAGCCTTTGGGGTTTAAGGTTTGGGAAGGGCTTCATGGGAGAGAACGGCAAACTACCATGGAGAAAGCTGCCAAGGACGATCAAGAGCTGGTCTTGCGAGGACGGGGCGAGTTGCAGCACCCAAGTTTTGCTGAAGCCGAACCCCTAAACCCGAAACCCTAAACCCGCAAGTGCAAGATATAAGCAAGCCCCAGGCGCAGCTCGGGGCTCTTGATGAGCTCGTTCGTACCAGCTTTGATCGACAGATGCTTCATGACTGTCCGCCTCCTGCTGCCAGACAGTTTTCGGCTGCCGATAGCAAGCATCCTGCGCCGCAATGGCTGTTTGCATGGGTCCTCGACCCGCTCCAGCTTCTCGTTTGTTGTTTTTTTGTTTTCAAAAGCCTGCGGACACGTCGTTCATGCTTCTGATGGCATCAGGTCTTGCTCTTTTTTTTCCGTTGGTCAACTGTCCACTGAGGTTGTGCGCGGCAGGCCAGGCGCAAGCTTGACATGCAGCGTTGCGGCGCATGCCCATGTACATTGGAGTCCTTGCCTGTCAGCTGCCCCGCTGTAGGGTAGTTCAAGTGTGCAGAGGTGGGCTTTTGTTGTCTTCACTCGTTCTTGCTGCCGTTGATCGGGAGGCGCTTCGTGGTGCCAGCCCTTCTGGTAACGCTTGGCTGCGTGTCTCTCATCTGCAAAGCTGCCAGCTTCGGGTGTTCCCCTTTTGCTAACAGTCCTTAATGGGGATGATAATAGGGGGTACTATAATTAATCCGAAATTAAGGACTGTTAGCGTAAGGGGGAACATGCGACCTTATAGTTTCCCTAAACCCTGAACCCTATAGTCTGAGGAGGAACATCCCCATACACACACTCACACATATATATATACACAATATTGTGTATAATATTATATATAATATTATATATAATATTATACTTAATATTATATTTAATACTATATATATAATATTATATATAATATTATATATAATATTATATATAATACCATATCTAGTTTGATATACATGCATACATATACCTATACCTATACCTATACATATACATATACGCATACACATACATACATACATACATACATACATACATACATACATACATACATACATACATACATACATACATACATACATACATACATACACACCACCAGGTTCGCCCGACAGAGATTGTCCCCAGCTGTCGACTCGACATCTCATCGAGGCGCCGGGTTCGATACTGAGAGCCAGAGCTTAAGTGAGCTACAAAACAATAAGCCTACAGTATGTTTGCTTTAACATAGTAGGATCGGGGGCCTGCCGGCTACGTGGAGATGTCCAGGCAAAGACCACTTTGGAGATTTTACTCAGGTGCTTGAATGCGCTTTGGAAAAAGGAAGGAGGCGATTTGATGTGAGGCTCAAGGGAACGTCCGCAAGATTGTAGATGAGGGCTCCAGACACCTGAAGGGTTTGAAGCCAGTTTGACAAATAGGTCCCCCATAGGATCCTCGCGCCCTACCGAGGCCAGGTCACTCTTCACCCTGTGCGAATGGCGCTGGGATTCCCTATACTTTACTCTTAGGGATTGAGGCTATTGAGTTTCCAACTTTTTGGCTTCTACTATAAAATGCTGCAGGTGCTAGCTGCGTGCTTGGCATGTGAAATCTTAGAAAGGTGACAGGTCTGTTTTGCAGCACCTGCCTTCGATCCATCACGGCGCGAGGAGCTTTTACGGAGGCTGTCTCGCTCCGCAGACGCAGTATCAGTGTTTCAGAACCTAGACGCAGCAGCAAAGCACACTTCATGTCTTCATGGCACCACGTTGCGATGTTTTTGGCAGTGCAATGTTACCGCAGACCGCCACATACATCTCACTTGCTGAGACTTGCTGAGGTTTAGGCGGCACGGGCTCCCTGGCCTTAATCGGCACAGTTTCCCTTTTTGCCCCGCCACCTGTGACATTTTTGCCCTGCGGATGCGCCAGTCTACACCCGACCCTAAGCCTTAAGCCGCATCAAGGTTATAGGTACCCTAAGTTTATAAGTATAGTTACCCGACTTTTCTCTACTTATAATAGCTACCCATGAACCTCCAAGTAAGCTTTCAGACGTTATTGATAAGCCCTTCTCAGGCATTCTGATGCAGACCTTCCCAGAGGGCCCTGCCTCTTCTGCGGAGACTCAGCTGACGACACGATCAGGCCCTGACCGAATCCGGCCAACGACATTCACACGGGGGGTCTACCACAAGAAGGGGCCCCTAATTAGTACAGACCCCAACTAGTAGGATTCCCTCATACTAAGAAACCCCAATAAGGTACCCCTAAATAGCGTAGACCCCTATACGAGTAGCAGCCGCAGCCATGATAAACAGGTGGTACCAGCCACCAGCACGAGAATACTCCCGACGGGAGCTCATAGCAGATCGCCTGGTGAACTTCGGAGGCTCGGTTCCTGCAGCTTCTTTTTGAGCAAAGTCCTAAAGCCCCAAGAATGGCTAAGCCACAAAACCACCCTAATTTCCGCCGAAGCCGTGCGGTCCAGTATATGCAAGCCAGCATACCACTTGACCTACGCCGATGACACATTACCCACCAGGTTCACAATGACCTTGACCAACACGTGAAAGCAATATAAGGGTCGGAATACTTACTAATATTATTCTCTTAGGGTCCCTTTATCACTAGACTATAATAGCCCCCCAAAAGCATGCCAAAACCCTGTTTTAATTATTCGGGCCCCTAAGCCCTAAACCCTCGACCCTAAAACCCAAAACCCTAAACCCTAAACCCTAAACCTAAACCCTAAACCCTAAACCCTGAACCCTGAACCCTAAACCCTAAACTACTCCCGATTCCTCTCCACTGAGGCGTCGCTGCAGCGATGCTGGCCGCACCACTTCTCGTCCTCGTGTCGCGAGCAGGCAAGACACGACTTTAGGGTTTAGGGTTTAGGGTTTAGGGTTTAGGGTTTAGGGTTTAGGGTTAACCCTGACTAATCCGAGTGACAGGACCGAGCTCGCAACAGTCAGGGGGATTTTGGGGAGGTGTGGGTACTAGTATCTGCTGTCGAATGCGAATGTAGCAGGGGTTGAGGTGGCTTTCGGCCTCAGGGTGTTATTTTTTTTTAGCAGCGTCTAGCATGGTGAGCTTTATGGGGGCTTCAGCAGGCCTGTCAGAGTCGCTGTGCAACAGCCCCATCGCAAGCCCCAAAAAGAGATGCACGAGGGTCTTCCAGCTTAGTGGAGACTCGAGCTGTTTGTTGAGAAGGAACTTGTGCTGCAGTCGCTCATGACTCATGCCGTCTGACGTTGCAGTCGGTGTAGTTGCTGCATGCAGGTGGAGATGCAATAGCCGCAGCCTCAGACATTGAGGGCACCGGCTTTTCGGCAATGGCGCATATCAGAACCATGACCTGGCTGTCCGATCCGCCCACAAGGTGAGACAGGCTGGATTACTTGTTCACGGATGTTGCTGCCTGGCTGCACAGTACTTTTCTTTTCTGGGAATGAGATGGGAATGAGCTGAATGCTCGCATAAATTTCGGACATCTAAAGATACAGCGTGCGGCCACCAATGTCGTAAATTCATCGGTCTGCTTGGGCAAGCATATCTTCGGTTGATTTTACCCGGCGTGGTTAACGCTGACTTTCTTTGGGGGCACCCGATGCCCTTTACGATGCCTTACGAACCACCATCCTTTTTGGGTCTCAAAAGCCCCTAAACCCTAAATCCTAAACCTCTTAGAACCCCAGGATCCTCCCTCCCCAACATCCTGTGCAAGCGGAGCCAACCTGAAGCAGGGGGAGGGTAGTGTTTAGGGTCGGGATGTTCCCCCTTTTACTCGCAGTCCTTAATTGGGATGACAGTACCTCCTATTATACTCCCCATAAAGGATTGTTAGTATCAGGGGGGAACATCCCAAGTTTAGGGTTTAGGGTTGAGAGGTTTTATTCAACCTTAGTGCCCTGCTCTACAGACGGCATCGGCCAGCATCGAGACCATGCCAGTGTAAGTCGCGGGGCGGGTAAAGTCTTCAGCTTCCGCGTGGTCTATAGGATGCAGGCAAACATTCCACCAATTCCAAGTGGGGGTTTCCGAAAATAGGGGTACCCTTTTTGGGGGTCTCTTTAAGGGAGATTCTACTCTATTTGGGTATAAAATAGGGGTACCCCCCTATTTTGGGGAAATGCCCAAGTGGGGCCTGCAATGAGCCAACAGAGGTATGATTCTTATGTTCAGCTGCTCCGCCCTTTTCCATTACTGGGCAGCTCGGCATCTGCAGCACAGAAGTTGCGCAACGTGGCATTTCGTATCTCCCAAGCCTCCGAGATCCGTAGGCTTCCCGATGCTGCAGATGCGCGCGCGCGGGCGCGGCCCGCGCGCGCGCGGGTGGTTTCGGGCGGGCGGGCATGCGTGTGCGTTTGTGTGTGTGAGAGAGAGAGAGTGCGTTGTTACTGAGTCGTACCTGTGGCTCTGCAAGAAAGGGTTTTGGGACGTCAGGGCTTTTAGGTCTTTCTAGGGTTTTAGGGCTTAAGGCCTGGGATGGATCCTGCCAGCGATTTCTTTTGATGCCGCTTGGCAGAAATGTCTCCTTTGGGGCAAAACACCGTGGCATTTTTTAAGTGGCTTCGCGCGCTCTCTGCAATGCTTCCAAGGCTAGACCACATTGGAATCAATTCTATGATTGCTGGCTGCTATACACCTGTTATGACACTCGGCAGCAGGGGCACTGACTGCCACAGGGCGCCTGCCCACTGCTCTTTGCCCCGGGAAGTCGAGGATCAGGCCAGTTTAGGCCCATGTCTTCGTGTGCAAAATGCAATGATGTCGAGCGGCACTTTGTGAAGAGCTGTGCTGTCAGCCTCAGTCCCAGGATCCATTGCCGGTGCTATCGTCTTCTGCTTTTCGTCTGGGCATGTGCCTGACTTATTCTAGCCTGACTCTTTGATGCTTGACTGACTAAGGGACCATGTAACCCTAAACCCTATACTATATAGCATTGCGAAGCCCAGGCCACAGCGCAAAAGGACACGCAAGCACGGTTTTCACATCCTGCCAAGAATCGCTGTGGACTGTCGAATCTCAGAAGCGTATATGCAAAAACCGATGTTGCTTGAGGTGCCATGGTTGGCTATGTTGGTGAAATTATGCTGCTCCGTGGGCAGCACATGGCAGCTGTTGTGACAATCTCGTTTTGCTTCCCCTCGTACCTACCTCTGCACAAGAGAACTCGGCTATTCGAGATTCAGAGACTCCAAAGTCACAAACGTTCGGCTACGTCAGGGAGGATCTGCCATAGTATTCCACGCTATTCAGTATTCCCTGAAATCCCTGGACATGCAGAGTTGCGGTATAAGTCCGGAAGCTTCTAAACCCTAAACCCTAAACCCTAAACCCTAAATCCTTCAGCCGTTGCTCCAAAAGGTATGTCGGATGGAAGCAAAGTGTCCAACTGGATGAGGAAGTGGAAGGTGCCAGAGCATGAGTTAGGGTTTAGAGGGTTTGTAGTAAGTTTGTAGGGTTTGTAGGGTTTATAATAGGGTTTATAGGGTTTGTAGGGTTTGTAGGGTTTGTAGGGTTTACAGCGTTTAGAGGGTTTAGAGGGTTTATAGGGTTTATAGGGTTTATAGGGTTTATAGGGTTTACAGGGTTTATAGGGTCTCATGCGTCCTTGAGGGCCAATGACGCAGACGCAGTATCCCGTCATGTTAAGAAAGGGTGCTTCTCGCAAAGCGTACAACTCCGTTATGCATGCCGGAAGATGAGTTGATGCCCTGACCTGCTGAGAGGTGGTGTTGACTTGATGTTTCACCCCTTTCGCTACTTGGCGCGACTCGGCAGAATGTGTACTGGCTCATGGTACTGTTCATATTGTAATCATAAAAACGTATTATAGTAGCAGTAGTAGTACGAATACTAATATAGCAATAGCATTAACAACCTCACAAAGCTGGCACTTCGAGCTGAGCTTTGCATTGCTTGACTGTCGGCTGGCAAGCCAGGCATGGTAATCATCTGAGAATTGGCGGACTAGGGCTGCGCATGCATGCTGTATCTAAGGGTAGTTTCGTGGGCCTTTAATATGGTCCCTTACCTCCCTTATGTAAGGGGTATACAAGGCGTCCCTTTTTGAGGGCCCGTACTAAGAGACCATGTAACAACCCTTATGCTGTAGATTCCAATTTTGGACCTGTCAGGACGTTGGCCATTACTACAAAGCCCACAGCATGGGCACTTGGAGGTTTATGTACTTATACGTAGGGTATTTTAGAAGTAGGGCCCTAAGTACCCCAAGTATAGTTACCTACATTTCACCTACCCATGAACCTCCATCCGCTCCCTCGACCTGGGGGTTTACGAAAAAAGGGACCCTTAGCATAGACCCCCAAAGAAGAGGACTCCTTTATAGTAAGGACCCCAAAGAAGGTGCCCCTAATTTCGGAAACGCCCCCAAACCCTAAACCCTAAACCCTAAACCCTAAACCCTAAACCCTAAACCCTAAACCCTAAACCCTAAACGCCTGAGGATGGGTTGGTCCGTCGTCGGCGTTTGGAGCGAGGTCATGAAGTATGTCTCGATGCGCGGCAAAGCGCTCATGCGGCTTGGATCGCCAGGCGATGCCCCCCCTACCGTGCGAACCCTTTCCTACGGGTTGAGGGGTTTAGGGTTTAGGGTTTGGGGTTTAGGGTTTAGGGTTTAGGGTTAGTGGTTCTTAAGCAGAGAATGAGGAAGTTAGGTACCTTAGATCCGTGACTCCTGCATCATCGCAGACGTAGTGCATAGAGCTCTCTGCCGTGAAACCTTGTCCTTTTTGAAATGTGCAAGGATGGCGGAGCGTGGTTGCATCCTCTGTCCCCATTTCCTACGAACTTCGTGGAAGAAGATCCATCCACGGGCACCCTCCCAATCCCTCCCATCTGGAGTACGCAAATGCGCCTTTCTTGGTCCTGGCTGTCTCTTCCGGAGCCTTTCAGCTCATGCTTTGTCTCCCTTCCTTTCTGTTGTCTCTAATCTCCCTGGGAGGCACAAGCTAGGTCCTGCGACCGAAGTTGCAATCTGTAGACAAGAAGCTCAAAGCCCTAAACCCTAAACCCTAAACCCTCATCACCAAAAAAGGATAAAAACCAACAACCCTGACTCTGCCCCCAGGATTGCTGGTGGCTTGAGACGCCTGCATGCATTAGCCACATCGAGTGCTTTTGGGCCTTCATTGCAAGCCTCATGTTAGTGCGGATACCCTAAACCCTAAACCCTAAACCCTAAACCCTCAGTGTTGTGGCCGCAACTGAGGCTTCACCTTGGGCGTGCCTTTCCACCTGAGCTCCTTGAAGCGCAAGCAGCCTTTGGGGGGTTTAGGGTTTAGGGTTTAGGGTTTAGGGTTTAGGGTTGTAGCCTTTCCTTTGGCATGGCCATCAGACCCTAAACCCGAAACCCTAAACCCCAAACCGACAGTTCTTAGACTCACAAAGCCAAGGCGTTTGCATTGTGTTGGGTTTAGGGTTTAGGGTTTAGGGTTTAGGGTTTAGGGTTTAGGGTTTAGGGTTTAGGGTTTAGGGTTTAGGGTTTAGGGTTTAGGGTTTAGGGTTTAGGGTTTAGGGTTTAGGGTTTAGGGTTTAGGGTTTAGGGTGTGACCAGGTGCCAGCGTGGAATTCCACCATGCCATGTGGCATTTGTTTGTGCAGGACTCAGGGGGCATGTGCAGGGCTCTCATCTCGGAGAGCATGTGTTCTTCTTGGCCGGTTCTTGAGGTATGTCCCTTTTGGGGTACCGTAAACGATAAGAACCCTTCTTGTGATCAAGTACCCCCGAACAGTTGTTTTTCAGAACTGCCCATGCGAAGAGGGACTCCTTCAGGAAGGTTTAGAGTTTTAGCTTGAACGCCATGGCAGCCCCGTGACTAAGCAACTTGGTCCGCGCCCGCCCCAAGAACAACCCGCCCCCGCATCCGCAACCAAAAACACGCGCCCCGCAGAAAAAAAACAAAAAGCAAGCTACCCGCCCACCAGGGTGTTTCTTGCCCCCCCCCCTTCTCCCTCCTTTCGATGGCCTTCGCTGCGGAGCCCTGCCCAGAACAAGTAAAACCCTAAACCCTAAACCTTAAACCCTAAACAACCAGCGCCGAAGGCAGGAGCCCTGCGCTGCTACTCAGGTTTTTCCTGCGCCCCCGCGCCCTCTGAAAATCCCACAGCTGTAGGCCCATGTGTTTAGGGTTTAGGGTTTAGGGTTTAGGTCCGGAGGGCTTTGAGCCAGAGCAAGTCGGCAATGTTGAAACCGACGTCTGTGAAAGCCTGACACCGAAGAAGTGTTTTAAGCTTAGCTTGAGCATACCTCCGGAGAACTTCCTCCAAAACATGCGGGTTCAGCAAGTTGACATGGTGCAGTGGGAAGAATTCTGTTGAATGTATGTGTGTGTGTGTGTGTCTCTGTCGAATTGGCATGACTTCTGATCTAGACGCCACGGGGAATGATATGTTTACCATGTAACGTAGCTGTTTGGCAAGTCTCTTCCCTGCGTTTGGCACGCTAGCCATTTTGGAACCTTGAAACCCCGAAACCCTAAACCCTAAACCCTAAACCCTTGAGTCTCTGAGCCACGGTCATCCACAGAACTTGGGGGCCTCAGGTAGGGAACCGACTTCGCTGAAACTCACCTGGGGGTTTACGGAAATAAAATCGGGACCCCAATAAGTTTCCCTAAACCCAAAACCCTAAAGCCTAAACCCCCCTAGTTTCGTAAACCCCCACCCTAGCAAACGCACCACTCAGGTCTTCATCGGCTCTGCCTTTATGTATTCGGTCTGCCTCCTGGAAGTTGCAGGAAGCAGGCGCTTGCGGTGTAAGGGTTTGGGGTTTAGGGTTTAGGGTTTAGGGTTTAGGGTTTAGGGTTTCGGGTGCAGGAAGCAGGCGCTTGCAGTGTAGCATTGCATGTGATGGCTATCCGGATTGGGGAAGCTTGTTTGTTCAGTCGGAGGTTAGGGTTTAGGGTTTAGGGTTGAGGGTTGAGGGTTTAGGGTTTAGGTTTTGTTGGGGCATAGAGTTGTGGTAGATGCTTCAGGAGCTGTGGGCACTTGCCGGGTTCGTAAATGTGTCCTTGACCTGGCTCGGTATCCAGAATCACGCTTTGCATCGAATGGCATGGCTCGATATAGGCAGGGTATTCGCAGGGTATGCTCGCGCATGTTCACTGAAGAGTTGTTTTTTACCTTTCCGGACTCCTGTCGGCAGTTTCTGATTCTGCAAGTTCTGTTTAAAAACCCTAAGCCCTAAACCCTAAACCCTAAAAAATGCAGGCATGCGAAGCTTCTGGACGCAAGCACGACGCATTTTGTGACGGGATGAGCGTGCGTTGCGTGGAAATTGGCAAGCTGACGAAGAGTCAATTGGGTGATTAACGCTGGGATGGGGTTTAGGGTTGAGGGGTTTAGGGTTTAGGGTTTCATGACTTCTGATCTAGACCGCCTTGCGCGTGGCAGGAAATGGGGTCTACTGATACAGCGTTGGTTAGAAGGCGAAGTGCTATTCAGGACAGATGCGCCCCTGAAACCATTTCTTCTTGCCCTAGGTGTCGCAGTTTTGCTTGCCTCAGCACTATAATTGACGCAAGTGAAGGCGAACCCGGCCATGCCGCCAGCCTTGTCAGTTCTAGACATGAAGAAAGGCAAGCAGCAAGCATTGAAGTGCTTTCAGTATGTAAACCCTAAACCCTAAGCCCTAAACCCTAAAGCACTGGACGAGCAACGTTTTTGCTGATCTGCTGGCCGCTGCTGCTGGTTTGCGTTCCGTCCGCGTCGGGACGCACGGCTGCCACAAAGTCTCCAAGCGTAACGTGCCTGGAGCTGCAGAGGACTCTCAGATGTAGGGGTTTTTAACGTTAAAAAAAAACATTTAGGGTTTAAGGTTTTTTAACCTTAAAAACCATTTAGGGTTCAAGGTTCTTTAACGTTAAACACCCATTTAGGGTTTAAGGTTCTTTAACGTTAAAAACCCATTTAGGGCTTAAGGTTCTTTAACGTTAAGAAGCTCTCAGAATAATAAGAAGAAAAAGAAGAATAATAGTAGCAATAATAGTAACAATAATAAGAATAGTAATAGTAATAATAGTAATAATAATAGTAATGATAATAAAAGACTCTCAGATGTACGACAAGGTACGAGCTCTGAGCACTCAGCGTCAGAGGTCGGTTGGCCATGCCCAGGTTGCGAACTTTAAACCCTAAACCCCAAGCCCTAAACCCTAAACCCTAAGCCCCAAGCCTTAAACCCTAAACCCCAAACCCACTGGACTGGAGATTGAACTTGTGGCTTAAGGGTCGAGAGATGTCAAGAGCATGATACACCTGCACTGTGAGTAACCATAGTTCTACTTGGCTGTCACCTTATTAAGGGTACTTACTTATTAAGGGTACTTAGATCAGCGCAGCTTCGCGTTGCCTGTAGTACATACACACGAGGTGAATGAGTCGCAGTCTGCAGGGGAAAACTGTAAGAAAGTCTTCAGCAACGAAATTGTGTCATTGGGGAAAGAAGTACTGGCGCACGCAGGTTCTGGGATGAATCAAGCTCTGGGCTTCGGGCTGGGTCAGGCTTTCGGATGTTTTGAGGTGCGGCATGTGAGGACTCCTTATCTAGTTCATGACAACTGTTGCTAGTTGAGAGTGCAGCTGGTTTGTGTCACACAATCTGCCTCCGGGTCGTTTGCCTTCTCGGATGACAATAAATGACACTAATCAGCACTCAAGCGCCTCTCACCCGGACAGCGCGACACTCGCGGACGAGTTCATGCTCGAAGACGCTGTTCAGTCAGGGAGCACTTGGCAATGCGTTTGGAAGTCTCTCAGATCGTCCTTTTTCCCTAAACCCTAAACCCTAAACCCTACACCCTACACCCTTCGTCCGCGTCCCGAGCCTGTTCGGGGTGATGCGCCGGGTGAATCCTTTGGCTTTTGACTTCGTTTGTAGGGCCACACAGCGCAGCAGTCTCGACTGGTGGTGGACCCGGCCTTGGCAGATTGCACGATTATGTGATGTTGATAGATGTTGCTTAGGTGAGTTGTAAGAAGAAGAATAGTACCCATACCAAGAATAGTAGCAACGATACTCATCATAAGACTAGTCAACAAACATACTAGTCATAAGAATAGTCATACTAATAGTGAGAAGTTTTACCTTGCTCCCCATGTTCTCAGGACCGGGATAACCCCGGGACAGGTGGACCTGAAGTGGGACACCTGCCCTCACCAATTGCATGAAGCGTTCTGCTGCACACTCCTGCGGCCTTTTGAAGGGTGGCAGACCAGCAGATTCAGGGGATGTTCCCCCTGGGATTTCGCCATAGGGGGTACTAGAATCCCTATGAAGCACTGTTGGTGTAAGGGGGAACATCCCAATTCATAGGTGAAAGCAGGCGATTTTTGTCATGATCGCGACTGCCGGTCTGTTGTGTTTGACAACCCCGAGCCGCACATAGCCAACTGAAACTGTTTGGCTACCCCCACAGTGTCCAAGTCGGATCGCGGCGGCCCTGAAGGAAGCTTTGCTGCTTGCATTCTGGACACTAGAGTAGGTATGCAAGACTGCCAGTGCTGGCTTTGAGCAGTTTCAAAACAGAGGAGTGGACCGAGAGTTTTTGATTCCAGTTCAATTGCTGTAGCGAGCCAGGGTCTGAATGGATCTGCACGTCCAGCGTGGATTCCACCGCACAAGTTCACTCCTGATGGTGAGAAGCCAGACCAATGGCACAGTTCCTGGCGTTTGTTGCCATTTTCATGCGCAGCGCATGAAATTCGCTGCTTGCTCGCAGCCTAAACACATTTGTGTCGACAGGCCCGGCTGCTACAAAAAGAAAAAGAGGCATCCCTTGAAAAGCCTTCAAGAATGATTGAAGGCCTGATTTGGGCACGGCGTTCCCTGTGCGCTGTGGTGAACAGCCACGCGCTCTAAGATGGGACTGACCTGCTCTTGCTTAAGAACCCCCCCCAAAGTACAAGTACTAAGAGTAGTCCCCATATTGCCCTTCAAGGAAATACGACGAATAATCCCCGCATTGCCCTTTAAGGAAGACTATTTTTTGATGTTTTGGGGATGGGTTCTGGAGCAACAGAGTAGTGATAGATTGCCTACTACTTGCTGAAGAACCCCCCCCCCCCAAAAAAAAATACAAGTACTAAGAATAATCCCCATACTACCTTTAAGGAAGAACAACCCCCTCCCCCCCCCCCCAAAAAAAAACATAAATAAATGAATAAAATAGAACCCGTACATTACCCTTATAAGGAAGAATATTTGTTATTGCCTTGGGGGTTCTTGAGCAAAAGAGCAGTGATGGATTGCATTGTACCTTTTAATGAACCCCAAACCCTAAACCCTAAACCCTAAACCCTAAACCCTAAACCCTAAACCAAGACTATTTTTGTTTTTTCTGGCTGGGTTCTTAAGCAAAAGAGCAGTGATAGATTGCCATGTGGGTACCAAGCCCGGGAGTCATGGGTGCGGAGGCGGATTCAGCGGCCCAAACAGCCACAACAACCTGGGCCGGTGGGGGTTTAGGGTTTAGGGTTTAGGGTTTAGGGTTTAGGGTTTAGGGTTTAGGGTTTAGGGTTTAGGGTTTAGGTTTAGGGGGTTAGGTTTAGGTGGTTTAGGGTTTAGGATTTAGGAGGGCGTAAGCTGTTCTACGCGATTGCTATGATGAATCTGCTTGTCTGAGCCATGCCTGAGACCAACGTACCAGCGCGCGCGGAGACAAAGGGAGGTGGTGCTTATGTTTTTTTTTTTTTTTGGGGGGGGGGGTGGGTTATGAGGGTTTTATTGGAATTTATAGGGGTTTATGGGGATTTATAGGGGTTAGAAGGGGGTTGTTGTTAGGGTAGTTACCTGGTCCCTTTAGTATGGGCCCTTGAATGGGGATCCCTTATATACCCCTCATATACCCCAGATATACCCCAGATATACCCCTTATTTTAGCCTTATATACCCCTTACATACCCCTTGTGTGCCCCTTATATACCCCTTTTCTGCCCTCCACAACCCGAGGGCGCACGCTTCAGAACCCTTTTAAGGGAGGTCCAGCTTTGGCTTCGGCCCCCTCCACCACTCTACCATGGGTCCCCTTGGGGTGGTACTCTGGGGTTTGGGAACCCTTTTGCAAGAAGAGTTTAGGGTTTGGGGTTTAGGGTTTCGGGTTTAGGGTTTAGGGTTTAGGGTTAGGAGGCATAACCTTAGGGGTACAAGTCTTAATCCCTCGACCCAAGAGCAGAGATGCATGTCTTGCAAGGAGCCTTCATCAGTCCTTACTCTGTTGGCTCAATCAACCCTACACTGCCCTAAGCCAGAAGCCCTCATTAAGCTTGAAGCAGAGACACCCTAATGGGTTTAGGGTTTAGGGTTTTCGGGTTTAGGGTTTAGGGTTTAGGGTTAGGGTTTAGGGTTCTAAGCCCTGAGCCCTAAACCCCAAACTCCCCTGAACCCGCGGTTGTCAAGCTATCGGGAGGCCTGGACGTGACGGGCGATGGTGCCGTCATGGCTCTCGGTCAGACCGCGCGTTACTCAGCACTTCAGATGCCACACAGTTTAGGGTTGTAGGGGGCTTATCATGCCTTAGCCTATGCAGGGCAAGAGTCACAACCTTCGTGGAGGGTGGTGCTCAAAGAAGCAGCAACTAATTCTTCCCCCCTTCTGGCCGTAAGGCCAAAAAGAGCGGCGCAAGTCAACAGCAGCGGCCTCGGAACGAATGTGGGTACCGAACCGGTTTTGTCACCCTATAAATTTAGCTTGGCCCTGTGCACCAGCAGAATGTGCGCTTGACGGAGGAATATTCAGAACATTTCAGAGCTTCGAATGGTCTGCGTGGATACACGCCGGGGTGGGCACTGTACATGTCGTGCATGCGTCTCAGGTGGTGTCGCCTGGAGTCGTTTTTGAAGCGCCGCGGCAGCAGAAAGGAAAGCGACAATGACGTTAGGAGGTGGCGGCTTTTGATGGCTCCAGCACCCGCTTACAAGTGGGGCTTTGCAAAAACATGGACCCCTATTTTGACCCCAAAATCGTACAACTCCCTTTACAGAGGAACTCCAAAAAGGTACCCCTAATTTTCGGACACCCCCAAGTTTTCTGCAGATGACTGAGGACACTCGACGCGTCAAGAGCGGCAAATGCCGAGGCTCCAGAGCATGTCAATGTCCTAGGTAGGATAAGGGGGACCCTTAAAGGGGAACCCCTTCTTAACCCTCTTCGGGCTCTCTTAAACAGGGACTCTATTCAGAGTCTAAATCCCCAAGGGTCCCCCTCATCCTATCCCCTAAGTGCAAAGATGCAGCAGTACTCGACGAGAGTATGATGCCGTA